ATATACATATATATATATATATATATATATATATATATATATAATGTAATATAATATAATATTGCAACCATCTTGTCCCTGGCCTGCTGAGTTGTGACTTTGCTATTTGTGTTCCCATAGTTTGTCCATTGGAATTTGAAGAGCCTTCATCAGTAATCAAAGCATGCCATGGTATGGCTCCTTCCAGCCTTTCGTGCTGTAGTGCATTGAACACTTATGTTGCATCAATACAGAAGCAGATGCTTATAACAAACAGACAAGCCATCAATTGTGCGACATTGTTTGGGTCAATGTTAGAGAAAGGTGGAGTTACAGCAAACATTTATGAGCTTTGCAAGGTTGATTTGAAAGACTTTAGTCTTCAGTGTATGTTTCCCAGCCATTGACCTTTTAATTTCCTACTATGAGTTTTCTTGATCTTTGAATGATGTCTAACAGCAGTTTATCTTTCTTTTGTCTGATTGTACTTGATGGGTGCAGCATATGGCCAACAAGGTCTCTTTTCTATTTCCCTGTATTTTTGCAATAAAGTAATTATTTTAATTTTCTGGATGGTCTTCAGTAATGCATTCATTTTATTTCTTGAAATTTCTATATGCAGGATGTTTGCTTCGCAGTTTGCCAGCAGATATCATATTTGACAATGTTACTGGCTTCAGCTTTACTTGTGATTTAAGTGACAATATTGCTGCTCCATGGCCTTCCTCTTCCTCTCTTTCATCCTTATCTCTTTGTGCACCTGGTAAGTAAAGTGCATTCTTTGAGTTATTACCTTGTATCAGTGAATTGCTTGCCGCACAATTGGCATGTGTTGCCACAGGCTCAAATGTACTTTGCCAGAAATATATTGGCACGTGTCATGTCAACCTGTGCCGAAGGTGCCAATATATGGCTTAGCCAATTTTTGGCTTAGTCTGACAAGCAAAGGCACTAGCCGGCCAGAATCATACTGTGCCTGAAAGGTATCAGTATGCATTTGTGCCATGAAATGAAAAAAAAAAATTGCAAACACTATAATGGTGGTTATAATTAGATTTGGAATTTATATCTTTGATTTGCTTCTTCATATCTGCAGAGATGTCTTTGCCTGCATTGCCGATACCTCAGGCTTCTGTAAGCTCAGGTAAGTTATATTTGCTTGTTTCACTGTTAGTTTCCATTCTTATTAACATCAATTTTCCTCTCAAATACATGTCATCTGCCCCATAGCTCTATTCATAAGCTCTTCTTAAGTTTTTGTTTGATATAGATATTGTTGGACACACAGGTTGAAGTTACTTTTGCCTTATTTTGAATTTATTTATTCAGTCTACTACTCAGTGGTCATGCATGCTTGCGGCTTGCTCCTTGCATATGTCCGTTCTTGCATGTAGTTAATCCTTTTATTTGCTTGTAGGGAGGTCTTTTGTCCGTGTTTTTCATGTGTGAGTGCTTTAAGGCCATTGACATTATTTGTGATATATAATTCTATATAATCTTTCAGACCATTGATTTTTTTTTCTAGGCTCCTGCTAGCATGCATATGGCTGGCTTCCATATAGGGTATTTAAGAGTTTGCCCATGACAAGCTTTGACAACTTTGACCTCTTTTGCTTTGTTAGAGCAGTTAATTTCATTGTATGTGGTCTTTCAGAAATCCTCTCTACCATCTTAGCATATTATAGTTCAACTTTTGGTAGTATTGCTATCCCATGGTGTATTCTCCTCACGAGGGGGCAGTCTTTGTGCTTTTCATGGCTAAACAATTTGCTGGTTAATTGTCATTGTCTTGTCTTTATACACAGGTTAAATTTGGCTTGGTCATGATGTTTGATTTGACAAGTCACTGTCTCTTACTCATGCAAAACAAAGTACAATCATTGTTTTTACTTAAAGAAGAAAACAATCACTGGTCAATATGCTGGTGATTGGTTAGTATTTGTACCTCTTGCATGTAACTAATTCGTTCTTTTCCATCTGAACATGTTTAAAGAATCTCCATTATTTCAGTTTCTCATGTTAAGACTGTCGTTTTATGATCATTGACATTGTTTCATTTCTACTTTTAGGTAGCTACAACATTGCAAGAACCATTATTTCTGCTGTATATGTGATCTCCAGCATATTGCTATGACGCGATGACCTTCTAAGTCTAAGCCAGGGGTGATCCGGATGTCAGCAGATTTCGGGAAGTCACTTCTTGAGCAGGTCTACATGTACATCCAGATGTATAGCAGCTTTTTTTCCCAGAGGAAATGTTTAATTTTTGTGGACCGGGAGTGATGCTTGGAAGAAGCGTTGTCATCGACACTGCATAGGAGAGCTTTTCTGGAGTCCCGTTCAATGCTTTAGGTTCCCAAGCCATCCTATGGTCGTCTCTTGTGAATAGAGAATGTGTGCCATATTAGTGTTTCTTTTGGGTTCTTCTGTTCCTGTCTTCCTCTGTTTCCATTGATCTTTGTTGCACATGTCGAGCTTGGTAATGGGTTGGGATTTGCTGGTCTGCAGTCTGTGACTCCAATTTTGGTACTTGTGAGCTCAGAGTCACTGATGAGAGCCTTATTGCTGCCGGACAATACAAATGAAACAGTTCTTCATTATTTGACTTTAAATTCCCCATCCCAATGTTTTGATTTGTGCTTTTTTATGTTACCTTAACATTCTGAGTTCATTAGACCTATTCTAGCATCATTCTTGATGGTAAATTTTATTTTACCATGAAAAAACATGGTTTTGGTAGCATAAAAATTCCAACTAGAAAATTCTCATGAATGTGGTTGGAAATGTGATGTTCTAAATGGCTTTTGGTGGCAAATAAATACCTTCTAATGAGAATAGTTAAATGCTTATTGGCATCATGATGGTGAAATGTAGGATAGAGTTATTTGATGGGAAAGACACATATAAAGGTGAATCCGGAGGATATTTAGGTAATTCAATCATATTTGGGTATGACCAAGTTGGAGTTTTGCTAGTGGCAATCTCCTTAAAAAATAATAAAGTATAATATTTTTCGATTATTATTCTTATCCTTTTATTTATCATAAAAGATTATTTTTCGATTCAAGGTGAAGGATAATACAAATTTATGATATGATTGACCTAATCAAATCTTTTTAACATAGCATAATCAATGATAATATGAGTGAGTTGGAAGAGTTAATGAAAATAATAAATGTTATTATTTTATTATAAATTTAATAAAATAATATTATTTATTATATTTATTATATAATAGTAATATGGTAATATTATATACATAAAAAATAATTATATAAATAAAATAAAAAAGGCAGGATAAATACATGGGTTGGGTTACCAACGCTTGTGATGCTTTGAAATGGGCTTTTTTGGGTCATGGGCCTTGTCGAGGTGTCTCAATTTGAACCCTACTTGCGTCACAATGACGGGCCGGCCCACATTACACCGTTCACTATAGCAAATGGAAGTCACGTGATCCGCAAAGTTGGGCACCTTTCCTTCTAATTCTTCCGATTTGGGGGGGAAGGGGAGAGCGGAGAGAGACGGCAATGGGTTCATCTCGCGGGCGATCTTTGGTCCTCTTCACCCTCTCGACTCTCCTCTTGGTTTCCATCGCCGGCGGGTTCCAGTCCGACGAGTTGCTGCAGGATGATGAGGAGTTCGGGCTCGAGGGAGGGCGGCCGGCCGCCGATCCCGCTCTCTCGACCCCTACTCGCCCCCCGATCCGCCGAAGACCCGATCCCGATCTGCTCTCCGGGTCGCCCGATTCTAAGTCGGTGCAGTTCTCTTTGGAGCATCAGTTCGGGGGCTCCGGGTTCTTCCCCGCCGGAACTTTCACAGCCCGCCTCAAGTCGTGGAGCCATGGTGGACAGGTTGTCTCCGGTTGATCTCTCTTGCAAAAGGAATAACAATCGAGCTTTTTTTTTGCTCAACTAAGACAGTTGGTGTTTGGTTGTCTAGATTTATTCGACTATGCTTTTTATTCTGGATAGTTTATATGGATCGATTCAACTATGCTTTGATTGGCTGATACTTGATTCGACTGCAGACTCTGACCAAGCTTCGGTTTTCGAGGAATGCACTTACAGAGGAAGAAAAGGGAGCTTTTGAAGTAACTTTTCAGAAACGTATCCTTTTATGTTCTATGAGTAGTTATTTGGATGTTAGAAATGACTAGTGAAGCTCTTTAATTTGATTTATGGCAGAGGCTATTGAAAGAAGATGGTTATTATACGATCAGAGTACCATCTAATGTGTTGACTGCTCCGGGAAGAGATTTTGTCGTTTCATCAGTCAGAGCTGTAAGTTAGCATCATCTGATTTTTTAGCTTCTGCTTGGTTAACTTTGGATGTCTGATCTTGTTTTAATCGAGGTACTTTTCTGATTCATCTTATTTATCAGAATTTGTCTTTTGTCACATCTTTTCATGAATCATGGAATGCACTATTTGAAAGCAATCTTCACTTGTCATTAAACAAATGCTGCCTAGTTACTTTCAGTACTATACAACAAAATGAAGAGGACCTTTTTGATTTTTCTAGAATGCAGCTCCTGAAATTACAGGAATATAAGATAGACATCACTGGAAATGACACCATGTATTTAACATTATTTGAATTTTGTTTTATCCAAAAATAGTATGACTAGCTTCTACTTATAATTTTCCTCTTTTGCTTCCCCATACCGCGCGCCTACCCCTCCCTCCCTCTCTTTTTTTTTTTTTTTGAGTCTGAGGGTCATATTTGTAGGGGCCTAGCCAGCCACTGTTGAATAGAACTTCCTGCATGGTGTAACAAAATAGTAGCATCAGCTTCAGTACCGGTGTGTAAATGAGACAGTCAGATTATAAAGAATTTTTTGTAATTTTCTGAAATATTAATAACCTGAAGGAGGTTGTATATACCACATATGGATCTTGTTAGAAATTTAAACTCTTACTCAGCTACAAGGTCTATGTTGTTTATGGTAGTTCATGGACATCATCAATAATTGTTAAGCTACTGAAAGGCAAAATTTATGATTGATATTATGCAAGTGTATTGTACAGAAAATGAAATGATAATTTTTTATGATGTTATCATAGTTGTTGATTGATTTACTTCTACAAGACATCTTTAATGCAATGACTATTTATTTCTCTAATGCCCAATTTTTTGTTCCAGAGGTGCATTCCCCGGGAGAGTTTGGATGAGCATTTTATCATTCATACTGTAATTCCCTCATCTCTACTTCATGATCTAACATGTATAGTTATCATTTTTAGTTCTCTGTGCAACTAAAATTTTGCCATTGTTCCATTTAGATAAGGTTATCTTACTTGGAAGCTCTTTCATATTTCTTTTAACTTCTTAAAATGGAATTAGTCATGTTAAACTCCTATGTTGCTCACACTTGGGTACAAGTTGCGTGCAGATATGCACCTGGGTACAAGTTGCATGCAGATATGCACCTGATTCAGTTGTATTTTATGGATTTAAGAGGGAGAACCACCGTTTTCAAGAAAGCTTGATTTTTTTTACCACCCAAAGTTTCATTTATCTGTTTGCATTTTTCACAGGGATTAAGAATTTTTGGTGGTTCACACATGCTTTAAAAAGCCAAATTTAGGCTAGTTATGACAAAAAAATCCAAAAAAAGTTGAAACTTTTTGTTCATTCATGCGTGCTTTTAAGAGCCAAACTCAGGCTGTGAATGACACAAGGTTCTAAATAATAATGTGAGGTAGCTATGGTGCTGAACTCATGAGCCTTGGAAGCCATGTTATTGGTGACAATTCACGCCGGTGATCTTTTATGACAGTAATTACGATCAAATCCATTTCCACCTCCACTACTTGGAATACTAACAATGACTTATTTATTAACAGCAAAAGGATCATATTGAGCCAACCATTCTCCATTAATCAAAGTGCTCACCACTGTTCAAGTCATTGTTGCTTGAATTTTGACTTGAATCCCAAGTGACTGCCTTATCATAGACTTCACATATTGCATGTCCTTTTACAGGATGGTGTGAACATTGTGGCAGTAAATTATGGTTCTGCTGGAGCTTGCCAGTATCCACGAATGCTCAAATATGTAAGTTCTTAAAAAATGCTTGGTTGATAGTTATGCTTCTGAGTAGTTTTTAGTACTTAAAATATTCATCATTTAGGGTTGATGGTTATATCCTTTCTTCTTCTTCTAGCTAGTTACTTTCCCCTTCTCTCTTTTGTCACATTGGAGGCTTTCTCCTCAAATTGGATAAATTTCAGTAGGGGTTTCATCTTTACTATCTTATTTTCCAATTGAATAACTAAAAATACTACATTAAACATTTGAAAGTATTTGCCAATTCCTTTACCGTAATAAAACTTTGTTTAAGAAATAAAAACATCGACAACCTTTAAACCTACTATTTGGAGTCAACTATGTGGATCCTTTCCCATCATAGTTCTTTGTTGTTGATGATATATACAAAGAGCCATCAAATCACTTTTTAAATTATAATGAATTTTTGTTAGGTGTTCCTCTACCTCTCTGCACATCACTAATTTGAATTGATTCAAATGTTAACTCGTTTATAAGCCTTTTTTTTATATGATAAGAACTCTCTAAGTAATTTTCCCTCATTTTATTCTTGATTGAAATAGTTCACCAAAATCAAAATCTCTTATTCTTGTTTTCAAGAAACTCATATATATCACAAAAAATAAAAATAAATAAGTTATTAGTGATCTAAGGTATGCAGGATATGATGGATAATTTTAATATTTTCCTGTGTAAATTTATAAGAACATCAAACTCTAATGACAAACTAAAAGGTTTTCCTCCATTTTTCGTATTACTACAAATACAAAGATTATTGGAATAACTTTGTCCTTCGGCATCGACAATTTTTACACACCATAAATTTTTATCAGTAAGGTTTATTTAAAAAGCATTTTTCTTGGTTGATATTTTCTATTTTAAATATTCTTCTTGATCTTTGCGATGTAGCACCTTGCCAGACCACATGGCTGCATAGTTTATATCAAACCCTTTGTTTTACATTGGGAATGAGATATTTTCTTTAAACTTTGTCATTGTGTCCAGCATTTCTGATGATATGGGTTGTTACTTGAACATATGCTTGCAACTACATCATGTAGTGCGTAGATTTTCTATTCCAATGAAATAGGAAAATAACCAGAATAATGGTGAATCTGAATCTCAGGGATATACTAAAATTTTTCTTTCTTACTTTCTCATGAATGATTTTGGTACAAGCATAATTACTATCTTATCTCATATTGGTTTCAGCCTGCAAAGTGGTCTTTCACATCATTTACGGTTTTGAAGAATAGCGAGCAAGCTCCAAGGTAAGTTTAAAATACTCTGAGAATGACAATGACATCATTTGCATATCAGTTGAATGCATTAGTCATTTGTTCTTGATACCGAGGTTACTGAGTAATATCTTGAGTTAAGACCTGCAGAGCTCCAACAATAATATCAAATTGTTATTGCATGATACTTGCAGAACTCCAACATTTGCTGAAGAATTGCTTGCCGGAGAGGATGGACTTGGTGAGGGTGTAAAGCCACCTGAAAAATCTTTTTGGGCTAAATATGTGAGTAACCTTATTGTCTTATTTTGTTGATTGTTTATCAAGTAGCTTGTTTTTACCTGAGATGGTTATCAGCTTCAATTGCAACATAACAACTTGGATCCTTTTAATTATTGTTTTACCTGCAGTGGATGTATTTAATTCCTCTCGTCTTCATTGTGCTGAATGCAATGACCCAAGCCATGAACATGCCAGAGGAACAGACTGCTGGGCAATCTACTCAAGCACAGCGGGCACCAAGCACCACCGTTCGAAGAAGATGATAGGTCCAAACGTGAACCATAACACCTTATTTCCTTGTTCTAGGTTTTTACACTTGATGATCCATTACACTTTCTAAAGGATAAATTTCCCAAAGCAATCTGTCGATTGTCCTCCCGAAGGTGTAGACTATAGGAAAATATGGGGAACAAAGTTCCAAACACATCGACAGTATATGCATCACCCGAGATGTTCTACTGAACTCTATACTTTTCATTGTTAGTCTTGTCAATTCTTTTGAATGTGCTTCTCGTTAATTCGAAGAAAATTTGCATTTTTCAGGTTCATTAGTGAAAGCAGGTGACTACAACATATACAGCCGCCAAACTGCCAGGAAGAGCAGCTGAGGTGTCTTATTTGCCGGGCGAATCGAAGCTTGTTCCTGAACTTGATCAACATAAAACATTGCCTTTCTTTGTACTTTTGTACCTCTGCGACCCACAAGGTAGGATTTCATGCAGTGTGAATTCATGGTCATAGGATGCTTGAAACACATTCGTATTTGCTATGCAAAGTTTTGGCTGTCGCATCTCTCTAGTACTGTGTGCTGAAGCAGTACTCGGTGTCATATCGTTGGTTGCCAAATTACTGAGGTGTTTGCTGCCTTCCAAACCATGGCTGAGACTTGAAAACTCTTAAAATGAAACTACTAATCTTTCTCTGTTCTCTTTCCTCCTGCAACCGAACACACTGAACCACTAAGCTGATGCAAATCAGTATGTAAGACGATAGAGATAGAAATGATACGTAATCATCTTTCTCTGTTTTCTTTCCTGCATCCCAACAACACAATGAAAAACTAAACTGATTCAGATTAATATGTAATATAATACAAAAGATGCGGCGGTCATTCCTTTTGGATGTGTCATCTTTTTCAGTGTGCTGACACAGTACTACAAAGGGAAGGAAGGAGGAAGCACATTATCGAACAAGAAAGAGGAGGTGGAGTTGACAGAAAAAGATCATTGTTGAGAGGAAGAACGTTATCGTAGAGAGGCAATGATCAACACTTGAAATTGATAGTGAAGTGATTATAGGAGGAATAAGAAAGAGGAGGTGATAGAGGAAGAACATTATCGAAAAGGGCAATAATGACACAGCAACAAAAAGACAAAGAGGGCCCTTGAAATTGCTAAGTAACTCTAGCAAGGAAGAGGAGATGATGATAATAGAGGAAGAACATTATCGGAAAAAGGCAACAATGACACAGCAACAAGAAGAAGACGAAGAGGGCCCTTGAAATTGCAAGTCATAAAGAATCAGCTTTCTTGAACTAGACCTCTTTTTTGGACCATCCGGTCCTTAATGGGATGGTTCACTTCATGTACAAACTAGTAAATCCGAGTACTGTCCGAAATTACAAGTCATAAAAAATCAACTTTTGAAACTAAATATATATATTTTTTTTATAGAACTGAACCGTTCGGCATGGACAGCAGGTACAGACCGATCCAGACGAAATTGAATTCCATAATATAGAGCATACTGGAGAAAAATCTCATTCATGGCCTGACCAAGAAGACAACCAATGACAAAGCTCTCCAAGACACTCATCTAACCAACTAACCCAACAATCTAGTGCGTATGAAAGCATTAGAAACTGTAAAGCACATCCACAATGCTGATTTCATGCTAGCTATGATACAGAATGCTGTTAGGTACTAACACAACACATCAGTGTGTATTTGGATACCAATTGTTATATTACAGGTTACAATGCTGACATGACACTTCCCACAGAGTTTCTCAAAATTTTTAAGTAAATTATCAAACAAAATTCTCTTGTGAGTCAGCTAACATCAGAGGTGGTTGATCTTACATCGCTGTTGGATTTGTGTATCTTGCATTGTAATTCTCCCAAAATGTTCATCTGCAAACATAATAAAGAAGATCAAAGGTTTAACGGTGAAAAACAAAAGATGAAGAGGATGGAAGTCAAAGCAAAAGGATGAACCATCAGCTCCCAAATATGCAAATAGCTTTACTGGAACAGACAAAAATAAATTCATTAAACAATAATGATAACCATCTGCAACTACAGCTTGTTAGTGTAATAAATGACATCTCATAAACGAAAATAATCATGCATGTATACACATCAAATAATTTTCACAACCACAACATTTAAGTCTGATTACAACAACCAAGAGATTCTATAACATCAAAAGTGAAACCAAAGTTTCTTATTACAATTTTGATCATGTAAACAGAAAAAGTCATTGATACGGTTTCGGAAATATTAAAAACAGAAACAACACAAACAGCTAGGATATGGGCTTTAATCGCTTACAAGAACAATTTAGGTTGGTAGGGCAAGCTTTAAATCAGAAGTCTCACGTAAATCCTAGGACCAAACAATCGGTGTCCTGATGGATATTTCCATTATAGATTGCCCTTTCGCTGCTTTGGCCAACCTCATCCACGACATATAGTTGGAGAAACATCTAATACTTATTTTTCTCCACACTGGCTTTCATAACCCACTACTAAGATGTAACATCCCACTCCTAGTCCCATACATATCCTACATGCCGAACTAAGGTGAGATATCATGTCTTTTTCATTTACATTATCACTACTATCGATATGAATACAGCGGAAGTTATGAAATCTTAAAAGTAAAACATGCAAATTTCTAAACAAAACGACAGGGTTTCCCCTGTACACAATAATCGACACCTGAACAGAATTATATACCATTTAACTAAACAGAAAAACCCAAACCTAACATGTCCAAAATTAACATAACATAACATGTCCAAAATTTCTCTACACAAAATTGCCCACAGGTGATTGTCTATATCTGCACTAGTATGGGTTTGCACGTGCTCACTTCCTTACCCAATCACTTAGGTGAGGTACTAGTATCCTTACATGCAAAATAGGGTCTATAATGAGTAATTTACTAGGTAAGTATAAACCATCCTAGCTTTACTTAGGTGAGCATGCATCACGTCATACATATAGTATTTCATTGATTAGCATAAAACATTTAATCTTACACAGCATGCACAACATAAGGGCGTAAAATTCTACTTTAAAACAATTTGAAATGCTTATATGCACATATAGAAAATGTAGAAATTCATAAAATTTTTTGCCTTATACCGTAGTACAGAAGTGTATTCTTTACATCATAATAAATATGAGTACGTGAAGAGAACTTCATGAGATTATGCGCTTTTACCATGATACATACATGCACTCCCCCCACTGCACGTCATAATAAATTTGCGCACATGTATAAAATATAATTATTCATAAAATTATGCATCTGCTTACCATATAATTATGTGCACATGGATAAAACATAGGTATTCATGAAATTATGCGTCTGTTTACCATATAAGCATGCGCACATGGATAAAACATAGCTATTCATGAAATTATATGCATGTTTACCATATAAATATGCGCACATGGATAAAACATAGCTATTCATGAAACTATGTGCCTGTTTACCATATAAATATGCACACATGGATAAAACATAGCTATTCATAAAATTATGCGCCTGTTTACCATATAAATGTGTATATGGAGAAAACATAACTATTCATGAAATTATGCACCTGTACCATATACATACATGCGCTTCCATACTATACGTAAAAATATATATACATGTATGAAAACATTTTCATCGTAATCCATATATATTTATATAAACACATATACATCTATATTTAGCTCATAACGAGCTCATATCAATCATATCAATTGAAACATGAAATTCTACATTAAATTATTTCAAGACATGCTTTTCAAAATACTTTCGAAATATAAAATTATACATTAAAATAATTCGAAACATGCTTCCCACATTCGAAACATGAAATTCTATGTTAAAATAGTTCGAAACATACTTTTCATAATACATTGTGCATGCAAAGTTGTATATGACCACTATTTTGTAGTGGTTAAGTTTATACTTACAAAATATATACATTTACATTTAGCTCATGACGAGTTCATAATGATCATGTCATTCAAAACATGCTTTTCAAAATAAATAATGCATATTATAATGTATATAACCACTATTTGAAGTGATTAGACTTATACTTACAAAATATATGCATTTATACTTGAGTTAAGGTCCATTTTAACCTCTATGATTTTGGTCATAGATCACATAAGCCCTTATGGTTTCCTCGTGTCTAAAATAACCCATACATTTTCAAAACCGTAGCATATAAGCCCCTCCCGTCAAGTCTAAGTTTACAAATGTTAGAATCTACTTACGTGACATGCTGACTCATAATAAACTATTAATATAATGACACATGTAAGTTAAATTTAAAAAAAAGATCCATTTTAGCCTCTGTGATTTTGATCATGGATCACTTAAGCCCTTATGGTTTTGCTCGTGCGTAAAATAACCTATATATTTTAAAAAACATAGCATATAAACCCCTCCTATCAAGTCTGAGTTAACAGACGTTAGAGTCTGCTTACGTGAAATGATGCCTCACAATAAACCATTAATATAATAACACGTGTAATTTAAATTAAAAAAATTGAGATCACCATCAATGACGGGAGAAGGCGTCGTCGTGGAAGCGACCAACAGCAGCACCGAGCCATTGTTGCCTTGCCGGGCGTCGTACGCACGCAGCCTCTCCCGCGTGACGACAAGCTCGGGAGCTTCCGGTCCTACCTCAGGTGGATGTGCGTCGACCAATCCAACGCTAAGCATGCAATGGTCTCCTAGTCCCTCTTTCTCCTCCTAGGCGTCTTCGTCCCCATCGCCTCCTACTTCGTCCTCTCTTGTGCCCCCACCCATCGCGCCTACAACGTGGTGGTCCAGCTCTCCCTCACCTCGACCTTCGACCTCTCCTCCCTTTGCCTCTCCGACTTCGTCCGCCGCTTCCTTTTCCTCGACAAAATAGATTTTTTTAAAACTTAAATTACACATATCATTATATTAATGATTTATTATGAGTCAGCATATCACGTAAGTGGACTCTAACGTATATCAACTCAGACTTGACAAGAAGGGCTTATATGCTACGTTTTTTAAAAAATGTAAGGGTTATTTTAGACACAAACAAAACCATAAAGGCTTAAGTGGTCTATGACTAAAACCACAAGGGCTAAAATGGACCCTTTTTTTTAAACTTAAATTACATGTGTCATTATATTAATAGTTTATTATAAGTCAACATGCCACGTAAGCAGACTCTAACATTTGTTAACTCAGACTTGACGGGAGGGGCTTTTATGCTACGTTTGTAAAAATGTAGATGTTATTTTAGACACGAGTAAACCATAAAGGCTTAAGTGGTCCATGGTCAAAACCACAAGGGCTAAAATGAACCGTAACCCTTTATATTTAGTTCATGACGAGCTCATAATGATCATATCATTCAAAACATGCTTTTCAAAGTAAATTATGCATAGTGCATACAATAATATATACAACACTATTTTGCAGTGATTAATCTTATACTTACTTGATTTAACTAAAAAATGAAGACATTTGTGAAAGGCTACGTTCTTTTAGGATTGAGTGTGCTAGGGAGCTGAAAATATTTTCTTGTTTTCTTTTCTTTTATTTCTTCCTTCTTCCTCTATTTTCTTTTCCTTTTTCAATCTTCTGTTCCCTTTTCTTTCCTCTCTATTCCTTTTTCTCCTTTCTTTCCTTTTCTTTCTTCTCCCTTCCTGCCCTTCTCCCCTTCCTTCCTTCCTCTTCCTCTCCCCCAACCGCAGCCTCCTTTCTCCTCTTCTTCTTTCTCTTCTTCTTCTCTTTACAACCACAGCCCCCTTCTTCTTCCTTCCTTCCTCCTCTTTTCTTCTTCCTTCCACTTCTTCTCCCCCAGCTGTAGCCCTAGCCGTAGCCTCTTCTTCCTCTCCTTCTCTTCTCCCTTTCTTCCCTTCTCTTCTTCTCCTTCTCCTTCTCCTTCTCTTCTTCCTCTCCTTCCCTTCTCCTCCATCGACACACTACCCCTCTATTTTCCTCATGCGGGAAGCAAAGGTGCGTGGGACAAAAATTGCCCCTTTTTTTTCTTTTTTTTTCACCTTTGTAGTTTAGTCCCTGTAAGATTTATATTTACACATAGGTCCTCAAAAACATAAAATATCACCTTCTTCTCTTTAAATGCAGATTTTAATCCTTTAAAATTCACATATCTAATCCAAAAAATATCTATGATTAATATATCTTCATGGCATTAATCATATCATGACATCACATATAATTGAACATTTAAAATATATTGTAATCACCGATAATTTCTCCCTTAACATAAATTAATTATTATAAATGATGTATTGTTTCATTATTAACTTCTATATTTGTGTACTATAGTTAAGGAAATAATTAAATTTAGTTTCCTTAATCACATGGATAAGTTAGAAATTCTACTAATCAATTAAATTATTAATTGATTTATTTCCTAATGAGTGATTTGATATTTACGAAGTAAATAGTTTACATTCCATTTTTGTGTGTGAACTATAAGAAATGAATATTATATTACTTTCTTTATGTGTGAAAGCAAAAAAAAATTAAAATTAAAAATTAAAATTAAATTATTACTTACCTTTCGGGAAAATCTCAACTTCTCCTATATAAAGGAGAGGACTTCCCAGGGAGACGATATCGAGGAAGAGATAATCGAAGGGAGGTAGGATCCTTTCTTTTTAATTAGCTTTGATTTATGTTTTGAAATTGTTATAATTTTATAATGCATGATGATGTTTTAATTTCGAAATTTTATGATTAGTAAATAATAATAATTGATTTATGATGTGAGAATGATTATTTGATTCATATTTATCTCTTAAGCTTAAGTGAATTTTAATATTAATTTAATTATTAAAATTCTTATTTTTGAATTAGCATAATAGTTCTAATTCATTTAATTAGATATATTTATATTTCAAGAATTATGTGTGAATTTCTATAATGTAATTAGTTTTAAATTTAAGATCATGAATTTAAAGTTTTAATTAATGGATTTGAGTCATTCTTTAATAATTTTAAATGTTGAAATCTAATTTGATAAGAGGAGTCTAATTGGGGTCTGACTTGAGTCAAGTTGATCGATCAGATCGAATCGACTCGACCCATGTGGTCATGTACGACCTAGCTCATGTGACCAAATACAACATAGCACATGTGACTCGGCATGACCCAACCTATGTGGCCGGGTAGGAGCCAGCCCATATGGCAAGGTACGACCCAACCCATGTGGCCAAACATGACCCAACCCATGTGGCTAGATACGATCTAGTCCATGTGGCCATGTATGACCCGGCCCATGTGGTAAGGTACAACGCAACCATGTGGCTAGGCATGGATCTGCTCATGTGACTAGGTACGATCCAGTTTATGTGGCCATGTATGACCCAGCCCATGTGATAAGGTATGACCCAACCATGTGGCTAGGCATGGGCTAGCTCATACGGCTAGGTACGATCCAGTCCATGTGATCAGATATGACCCCAACTCATGTGTCTAGGATCAACTCGCGAGCCAAGCATGGCCTAGTTCAATGGTGAGACTCAGCCCAACTTACAAGTGAGGCTTAGCTTAGTCCATGAAGTTAAGCCTGCCTAACTACGCGATTGGCATTAGACATAGCGTTGCTCCTTTTATATAGCCCATCGTACCTCAACTCAACCTAGTACTTGGAACATGCATATACAGTGTATGTGACCCGTCCAAGACTCAGGTGGGTTGGTTCAGTTTGGGTTAGCACTATACGACATAGTTCAATTTCCTCCCTCTCTATTGGTTTGAGCTCATTAATTGACTAAATCAAATATGTTTGATCAGTTAAAGCCGGTTTAGGGTGATTTCAAACTAACTTGACTAGTTCAAACCTATTTGACCTAATCGAGATCAATCAAATCTAAATTAGACCTGTCTAGGGTGATTCCAGACCGGTTCTATAAGGATTTGATGTTGGTTCCGTTAGATCATAATCAAATTGAGTTTGATTTAAGTCAATTGAGCTATTCCAATTAGGGTTTTGGTTGAATGAGAACTATTAAGAGATTGATGCTTTTATGATTTGATGAATTTAAAGATTTTATCTGAAGATGTCATTTGAAAATGATTATTGGTTTTCTATTTTCTTATGTTTATGATATGATGAGTATCATGTAGTAGATGTGACTAGACTAGCAGTTCACATTGAGAGTGCAACCTGTGAAAGGAGCTACGGGCCCATCACCGTTTGGAGCCACCAATGAACATAGTCTAGCATATTTACATCAAGTATGGTCTCTCATAATATTTAATCATATTGATTTCTTGATATATGCGTGAGTGATTGGATGAGTGTAAATGAATGGTCATGAATGTTTATGTATCCCTGCCGAGGGCATGTATGGCGATTCCTGTCGGGGATTAGCGGGTCGTCAAACGTGATGGTTAGACGGTTCCTCCATTCGTTGTTGGGAGGAACGTGTCCCCACCCACGCATACATACACTTGGGCGGGTGAGGGATACCACTTCATCCGTTGTTGAGAGTACGATATGGATTATCTCCATCCGCTGTTGGGAGGAATCCATCCCGTGGAATATACCTCTCCATCCGTTGTTGGGAGAGTGCACCATCGGGTGATGTACGCCTTTGTTATTATGTATGTGTTGCATGAGGCTGATGCATGATTTTGTTTATTATGTAAGAAATTATTATCATTTTTCTTATGCATAAGATTTATGATGAATTGATATATTTTCTTATTGAATTATTGATATTTATTTATATTTCATGAATATTGAAGATTATTTTTATGATTTTTCTGAGGTTCCCACCAGCATGTGTGGTTGTTGATATGTTTTTATTTTATATTTATTTTTAGAGTAATATACTATTGTGTAATAGATCTGAAGCTTGGGTGGATGAGACTTGTAACCCTACCAAGAAGATGTTGTCATTTTTCTAGTTAATAGAATATTTATTACTGTAAAAATAAGAATTTGAATTTAAAGACAAATGAAAAATAAAAAGGAGGGAGTTTATTATGTAAATTATGGATAATAAAATACTGATTTATTATCCTTTTTATAAGTCCGGGATATGACACATATAAAACTCTATATTTTTTATCTCAAATATTGATCCTCGAACATAACTATTTATACTCTACCTTAAATATTAATATAATTTAACCTCATATTAAAGTCCGCTAGCACACTTTGACCCGTTGCACTACACTTAACATAAACGTAAATGCTTATAGATGCTCAGTCAATATTTCGTAGAATACTGAAAACGATATATTTTGAAAAGCATGTACTTCAATTTTATGAATCGAAAACATGAGCATATCATTTATCGTATTTATGAAGTGTAAACATCATACATCATTTCATAAAATGAAGGTAACATATATATATTATTTGTGTTTTCATTAGCATGCTAGTTGATATTCAATATATGTGAGACTCGGGTGCTACATAAGTTTAACAAATCATGGTAAAGTAGGCAATATAACACTTCAAAAATACCTAGCTATTTCCGTAGTAAGACAGTTCAGGAACAAAGATTTCCAACAAGTATTCAATTGTAGATCCCTGTATTTGACTACAACACACTACTATCTGCCTCTGAGCTCATCCAAGACCTGACTTGCTGCCCATGCATTCAATTCCCTATTGGTAACCAACATTGAAAATAAGGTTTCAATGGCAATTATATCTGATCATGGTCTGATGTGCGAGGATATAGTTTCCGGCATCTAACTTGCATGGATGTGCTATGTGACATTGATTCATATCTTCTTAAAAGTAATTTATCCTTGGTGAACAAGGATCCTTGCAGCATACTAATAGTGAGGACTCAGGACTGCAGCATCTCTCAGGTAGGCTAGATTTACATGAGAAAGAAGGAAAGTCAAAAACATGCGCCAATAAAGAGAACTTAATTATTGAGTGATACTCCACAGGATTAACATTAAAAAATTTGATGAATATTATGCAGAGCAGCAAACTTCAAACCCTTTGTTTATTTTAGAATTCAGAGTGCAATAGTAACTCCACACAAACTTGTGGATAGCATAGTTTCTGGAAGTAGACAATCCTCATCTTCAATTACTAGGAATTGTTAAAAAGTAAGAAATTAACACTCTACAACAGTTGTATGAAGCTTTACTAGCTCTTTGTAAATATGAGAACACAAAATCTTCTCTATCTCATATATGTAGAATCTACCTTCATAGCTATTGTTAAAATAATATGCCACAGGACAGAAGCAGAAGAATGTGGTGAAGCAAATTCACATGAAAACAGAGAATATTTAAGGCTGCTTACAAGAAGCTCAATTCTGTTCCAAATAGTAATAACATTAAGTGGGTGGATTCTGTAGTGAAGTAATTCTCAGAATGAGCAACTAAACCACTCAACAAGCTAAAGACAACTTATTTTATCTGTATTCAAATAATCATACAACACAAAAGCATATAACTCACCGGATACATCAGCTGATGAATTATCCAATAAATGCACAGCAGCTGCCCAGCCTGCATATAACATGCAAAAAAAGGACATTAACTGCAGCCATTTCATGCACAGAGAGAGAGAGAGAGAGAGAGAGAGAGAGGAATAACTTGAAGGAAATCGAACTAGACCAATCTTTCTTACTGGTGTTGCATAATATTGCTCGTCTCAAAGAAAACATTTACCGCAAAAATAACAGAATGCAGCATCCAAAAATGAAACTTGATAAAAGTACTTGTTATAAAAAAAATGCCAATATGATGTAAAATTTGAAGGATATTAAATGAGGTTTTTCAGCTATTCAAGCAATTGGAAAAAGACATTCAACAGTGGCCAAAATGAAATTGATGCACAGACTGATTAATGTTGTAAAGCATAAAAATAGCAAAAATATCATAAGTGACCTTGTTCAAAGACTTATGGGCAGTAACAGAAAAGACCAAAATAGTCCAAGAAAAACTTCCAGTAAAATAAAAACAGAAATTCTAGCCTTCATCTAACCCAGTGGAACCTAAACTAAGAGTATAGTAGTGTTTCTTGACATCAGATGGTATGCATTACCTGTTCTTTCTCCTAATAATGTGATATAACAAACACCATTACTTGGTCTCGATCACAGAAGATAGAGGACATATATGATAATACCACCGAAGAACTTTAGTTGTGTGTGTGTCAATCATTAAAGAAAAGAAGAATGTTAGATGAGCATTGTATTACATGTTTCTGAAAAGGTTTCAAACAATTGACTTCAATGTGAAGTTTACATGTTGCTGACAGAGGTTTCAAAAAATAGACTACAAATATGCGGAGATGCTTATGCAAATTTTCTAGAGAAAATGAAACCAGAAGTACTTCATGCATAGGGCAGTGAATGCAAATACAAAGATGGCTGACAGACTAGTATAAATAGACAAGTCAAGAAAGAAATACAATTGATATATTAATAACAACTTCTTGTTGATGATAAGAATCTGGCTCTAGAGAGACTTTATTCATCTTCAAGAAACTATAGATTGAACTTAATTTATCGATCAGGGCAAAGTATGCATAAAACTATGCCACAATTTCCATTACAACATTGACATTTAAATTAATCAACCAGAAGGACCAATGCACATCAAACAAGCAATTTCCCATGGTTGCAAGCCAATGATACAGCTATGACTAATAAATAAAGTTTACATGTCGATACTTGAAGAGCAAAATATCATGTATGATGGAACTGTTAAGCCTTAAATAGAGGTGTGAGATACAACAAGCACATGCACACTTACGCTCTGTTAAAAATGTTACAGCCTCACTGGCAGAACAACCATCTAAAGGTATCAACTTTGGATGAGTGTTATCATTTGCAACACGGTTTCCGCCTACCTCCCCATGTTCTACCAGTGGAACTTTTCTTGGATAAAATTCTTGACTCTTTTCCTCATCAATACCATGAGCGTAGTTCACTTTATCATATCTATCTGCACAAGTAAAATACTAGCAAATTAAGCATCTGCAGAGAAATTTACTAAAAAAAATTTAAAAAATGTCTCATTTATGGATAGACATAAATAATATGTCTCTCTGCAGCACTAAGTGATCACCGTATGGATGATACTGTTTTATTTATAAATTAATGATGCTAAACAACCAGTGACTTTTTGCAGACAAAAATTAAATTTGAATCAAGCATCTCATATAAAGGCATCAAGATTTCCCTTGTTGCTCATGCAGTTAAATAAAGGCAAATTATCTGCATGACAAATGGTTAAAATTGCATGTAATATACATACACATTACATTTCACACTTACGAAATTCTGCACATCAGCAGTACAAAGCCCATAAATCCTGAATATTGTGCTACATAATTTCAGTTACAGAATTCTAAAATTTAGCACATTAAACACAAACAATCGTTGCATTTTTTTTATACACTAAAATCATCAACGATGCATTTTGCATTAAATTTGTCAGCAATTTTTTCTTAGTGTAAACCATGAAAAAATAAAAGAATAAAATAAAACTTAGAACAATAAAAAAAAGAAAAATAGACTCAATTAAACTCCACTCCATTATATGCTTGTTGGGCATAGAAGGAAAAAAGAAGAAGAAATTATGAGTAAAAAAATTGAACGATGATGGTTTTGCTTCTCTGTAAAGTTTGCCCAATAAAGGAAACGTTTCCCAATATTTGTCCCAAGGAACAGTTTGCTAGGGGTGGTCTCAAGAATACAAGATGAAGAAGAAGCTAGAAACTTATGAAATCAGGAAGTTTCAACTTAGCTTTGGACTTTGAGACCATGATCTCGACAACCAATCTATTGTCACAACACTAACACAAAAGCCCAAGTCATGCAAGGCCGTGAACCCGTTTCCAAATGCATCTGAAATCACAAGACTGCAATGCGTGCAAATGCACGCCGACTGGTGACTCCAAGTCCTCATTTCCTAGAACATCTAATAAAATCCTAATTTGAACAATGAAAGAGCCTTAGACCACGATCAACAAACCCTAACATATCCATGAGACCACATATGAGTTAGAAAAGAGGGAAGAAAAATACCTCCGGGTCTGCGCCGATTGATAGAACGATTTCTGCCACATTAGAATGCAACTGATCAAAAACTTAAGCTTAAAACAAGAAATTACAGCTGATGAGACGCAATTAAACAAACAGCTGGTGAGCAGCAAGGACTGGGTGATAACGGAGTAATCAACCTGGGAGGAGGCGGTACGAAGCGCTTCACGTTCTCCGAGACGTGCTCGTGCATACTAGCGGGGCACATGAAGAGATAGATACAGAGACCCCTTTCGCTGCTCCCACGGCGCAAGCGAAGTCCGGTGCCAGCTCGCGAGGAAATGGGGCAACAGAGAGAGAGAGAGAGAGAGAGAGGCGAGAGAGTGCCTCATTAATGGCTCCCCGGACCCTGGTTCTTTGTCGGGCTGAATCACCCTGGCAAGCCATTAGTGTACTCGTGGGTTACAGAGAGAACACGTCAACCTGGAGGCCTTTCAGGGGTGGTTCAGCAGCATCTCACGTAACGCCAAAAAATCGCGCCAACTGAATCGACCCTGAAATAGATGAGTCGTGTGGGTCAACAGAGCATCTGTCACCCCGGAATCATCTCAGGGGTGATTTAGTGGGATTTTGATGCCTCCCACACGCACTCAAAAGTCTATTTTACTATCTATCACACATAATCTTATCACAAAATACTATTTTGTTTCTTTTATCATGTGGAAATTTGAAGGCATGTACTAAAATCTAATTGATTTTAATCACCGAGATGGCAGATTCAATTCTATTGGCATTCACATATGCTTATGTCCAAATATATCTCAAACATCGAAATTAGTGTTAATTTCTATATAAAAATATTACTTTAAAAATATAAATACATAAAACGATAATGATATAATAAACATATTATAAGAATAAATTATGATCATGCTTTGCTAATTAGACTTCATACTCCACCTCACTCAGAATTATTTTGCTTTCCTCGTTCTCTTCCTTCTCCTCTTCCAAGATCAATCAATGTATCCATACATCATGTGCCAGTCACATTTCTATCCGAGATTTAGAATTCGCTTTTAGAAAACAGGATGAGGACATCATAAATAAATAAAAAAGATGGTACGAAAATAAAAGAGACATTGAGGAATTACTCATGCACACACCAATAGAATCAATTATTTACTCAGTAGATAATACACCATACACCAGTTCACATACATCAATGGTATGAAAATACACCAGACACCAGTTCTTATACATGGATTCACATGTTGAATTAATTATTTACTCAGTAGGATATAAGACAAATGTCGTATCAGAAAATACTCATTCATGAACAGTGGCTCTTTATATGGCACTACCAATTCCTTCTATATCATGTATTTTGCATGATTGAGCAGTGATGCAGAAGCCTACACTTCGGTGATCTCAGCTTTCCTCCCTCCCACTGCAGACTCATCCACAACGACAATATTGTGCAACAGGACTCCCTCAGCACCCTCAGTTCTTGATGCATTCTCCCCATTCACTATTCTAGTCTTCTTGTTCTTCTTGGCACCTCTTGCCCAATCCAAAAGACCTGCTTGCACATTCGCATCAAATATGGCCTTGTTGAAGAAACTCCCCATCTGTTCTTCCAACAGAAGATTCAGCACGAAACCAATCAATTATCCATAGATCGACAGATAGATGGATACATAGATAGATAGCTAGAGAGGGAGAGAGAGAGAGAGATAAGTCCACCTGGGTGACAATGGCATAGAGTGGCAGGGTGCTGTAGCTGCAAAGGAGCTGACTGAGGACGCTGGAGACCAGCAAGGCATGAATTAGAGCTAATGAAATGGAAACAGGCAGAGTGGAAGGAAGTAATTGGGTTGTGAAGGGGTTGCTGATCTACCTACCTGATGACAAGCCTGGGGACGATGAAGCCCACTTCCCCCATGATGCAGGAATCAAAGCCATATGTTGTCTGCATCACCAAGTAAATTTGTATGAATCCGGAGTCAATTAATTCTCTACTAGTATTTGTTGCTCTGCAGCTTTTGCAGAAAGAACTGGTTCTTCTTACCGGGTAAACAAGCTTAATGACCAAATGCTAGAAGAATAGAACTCTTATATTTTTCAATCCAACATTACACATGATATACGAACACAATGTGTTTATTTCTCACAAATAGGATATGTTAAGTTGTATAATCATATGAATTACAAACTAAACATAATTATGATATGTTTTTACCAATAGTATATTCTGAAAACCAAACAAAGATCGGGCTAGACCAAATAATTTTGGTTCAATTTTGTCTGACAGATCATTTCCAATTGGTCTCAAGTTCTAGAAATAGTACTAATTGCTTCAGCTTGAAAACACCCTCAAAACTGAACTGAGATATCAAATATGCCAAGTGGCTTGTGAATCCAAAGTTTCGCTACACCACATTGAGAACATTATAAAAATAATTCTATGCGGAAGAAAAATAAAAGAACATACTTTTTCAGATCAATTATAAGGCAATTACTTTGGACAAGAATATCTATAATAAAAGAAAACATACTAATATATGCAGTTGTAAGTTGAACCTCAAGCCATAATTGTAGAAACACAATTTTTTTGCCGCTTACCAATATCCAGAAGAAATATGCAATCTCAAAGGCATTTTGAAACAGAATGAAGTGAATCAAGAAGATGACAATTTGTGGCCTGTGAAACCAGAAGAGATGGTCCGATGGAGTCACCACCAAGTCACCTTCAATGGCAGAATGTTTCTCAGCAACCTCCTGAGCCAACTGAGTGATAATATGCTCCAATTTTGTGCCAATGGCAAGCAGAAGCTGCAGTACAACCAGATTTATTCAATAAATCATCATGAGAATTTATCAAAGTGGAAGTCAGATATATGTGTGCAAATAATATTCATAACAAAAATATTTAGCAAAAAGCCACAAAAATTCTTTAAAGCATCAGGTTCCTACTTACAACTAGAGGTAAGAATGATATCCAAAAATATGCATGCCAACCTGAAAACAAAATAACAAATGTAAGAAGATGGCACACCAACAGAAAAGCTGTAGATCTAATGGGGGCAGCAACAGTATCATGTCATATTGACATATCTGAATTAGTAATGGCGTGTGAATATCAACAATGACAAATAAAGTGAGGTACAAAATTAGTAATTTGAAACCGTTTTATGAGAGATGAAACTGCATTAGTACTTAATATTCATACTATGAATTATGCTACCCCAGTACAAATATCCTGTAGTTTGGTGCGATTTTGGCCAGTGAAAGTGTCTGATTTGGTTTCGGAATTTAAACTTACCTTCAACATTTAGCAACAAGAATATCATGACAAAAATCCAGAGTTGCCAACTGCAGAATAAAAAGGAAAAAGAGGAACCACATCAACATGGATAACCTTCAAATATCAATTGAACCTAAAGAGTGCTTTCTTATTTGCAATTACCTTATACCAACAACCTTTCTGAAGTCGGCTTCAAGGACTCGTATCATATACTTGTAAAAGTTGAATTTTTTGTTTCCTTTGCAGTGAGTCTGCAATGAAGAGATTCAGGATTGTAGACGTCAGAATATGGAGATTAATTAGGATTTGTGAATAAGTGCCAACAATGTGCTTACCATGATAAATCCACGTCTCATAGTAGTGTAGTCTGTCTCAGTGACGGATCCATAGAATTGCTTAAAAAATGAATGCTGAAATAAACACAATTTAGATTTAGATTTTAGAAGACTGGACGCATTTCTCATGCAACATACCTAGCACTCAGAACTCAGAAGATTACTTCTTGAAAGAAGAGACTATAATCTATTCAGTATCAAGTAGTATCAGTTATTAGAATCAGTAACAGGTCATGCATAGAACAATCATTTTTTGATACAAACAAATGTCATTGTCTTGTTATGATTATATCATACTACAACACTAGAATCCAGAGTCCATACACTTCATAATGGTCCAGAACAACATACCACTCAGAACTCAGAAAATTACTTCTTGAAAGAAGAGACTATAATCTATTCAGTATCAAGTAGTATCAGTTATCATTAGAATCAGTAACAGGCCATGCATAGAACAATCATTTTTTGATACAAACAAATGTCATTGTCTTGTTACGATTATATCACACTACAACACTAGAATTCAGAGTCCACACTTCATAATGGTCCAGAACACCCCGTTACAAACACAAAAATTTTGAATGCTGCATCCTTCAAATTCAAGTCAGAGAATGCACAGCTAAATTTTCCTGATTTTCATTAAAAAGATAGAATACTTAAAATCACGAATTTAGGATCTTGTGAGTTCTTCTTACATGACAGAGAACCTATATGAATATTTGAGATGTTTAGGAGAGTTGAAATTTCATTATGCATAGAAGGTTTGAAACATTGAAAAGCAATATCCTACATACCATCCAACTCAATATGAATGAAAACTTGCCGAAGCCCTTGTAACGTTTTTTGACAAATTCCGATTTATTCACATGGGTGATCTTTGGAGAAGCTGCACATATGTTGTTTGGTAAGCACATCATCAACAATGTATCTGGTGCTTTTCTTTTCGCATAAAGCAAAAAATCATTACAAATAGCTATCAAATGCAGAATTCTGTCATCAATCTATCAGTACTATGTTAATACCATTTGCATCCTCTTCCTGAACTGAGTCCTCCCATAATTTCCAATTCCGCATCTAAAATATGTAGAGAGAGAGATAGTCAAAAGATTTATAGCATACATTCAGATAAACAAAACAAACATGAAAACAGTTTTAAGAGTAGAATAATACCTGCACAATTCCTAGAACCACAGTGATAAGGCTGAGTGCCACATGAGTGACTGCCAAAACAAAGATAAAGATATGCAATTCATGAATTGCCTCCAGTGATAGTAGTGGAACCTTTCCCTGGATAAAGGAAGAAATCAAAATACTAAAGGTTCAGTTGTCTGTTTAAGATTTAGATTGTTGTAAAAATGTTTTTTTCTTTTTTCTTTCTTTCCTGGTTTGCAAGAAATGAAAGCTGATAATTGTAATTCAAAGTTAAAGTCCTTCATGTTCCTCCGACAAGCCAACTGAACACTGGAATCAGTCAATATCATAAGAGCATTGCAACTAGTGATTTAACTGTCTAAAAATCCAATGAAGCAAAGTAGATCATCTACTTTTTATGTACCCTACACCTAGCTTTTCCATTCAATTGGAGAACATGATTCCATTCTCAACCATTACTTGGTTAAAAAAACAGTCTCTTTTTTATTAAGGTTTTCAAAAGCCAAGATTATACTTTTATGGATGATCAATTGGTTCAACAAGGCTCCTGTGGAACCATTTTAGCATCATTCAGAATTACTGATTTATGAAACAAAGAAAAGTATGTTCTTATGCAACAAAGTAAGCTTTTTCTTCTTTTCTTTCCGAGAATGGTAGCCTATTTGAGTCTGGAAAAAGTCAATAATGGAGAAGAAGAATTAACAATTTTTCATGTACTGTAACCAAGCTTTTCTTGATTGAAAGCCAAGATTATAATTTTATGGATGATCAATTGGTTCGACAAGGCTCCTGTGGAACCATTTTAGCATATTTCAGAATTAGTGATTTATGAAATGCATATATAAACAAAGAAAAGTATGTTCTTATGCAATAAACTAAGCTTGTTCTTCTTTTCTTTCCAAGAATGGTAGCCTATTTGAGTCTGGAAAAAGTCAAGAATGGAGAAGAAGAATTAACAATTTTTCATGTATTGTAACCAAGCTTTTCCATTCAGTTTGAAGAACATGATTCCATTCTCAACCATTACTTGGTAAAAAGATCGATGTTATTAAGTCTTTCTTGATTAAAAGCCAAGATTTTACCTTTTTCCTTTCAATCCATCAATTCATCTTCTCCAACAAAAACCTCCATTTTTCAAACACAAAAGACAATTCCAGGAAGCGAGTCCTCCTCACCTTTTTCTGGCAGTGGGTCGAATCGGCTCCTCCTCCGGCTAGCAACCTGCGAGCACCACCGGAGAAGCCGACGCTGAAGTGGGCAGCTGCGGTCGCCGTATCATCTTTTTTGCAGGGACGCAGGTGGTGCATGAGGCTCTCACGGACGCATATACGTTGGATAGTCCCCTGGAACGCCACCAGCAACAGCGAGATGAACCCCAGCAACATCAACTCTGCCACCAAATAGCCAAAAAAAGGGAGGAAAAAATCGTTTCTTTTTCCCTCAGTATCGTTCGAGAATACGGATGTCGCTACAAGAAAGAAGAAGCAGATGGAAAGATTCGACCTTCTTTGATTTTTTGGAGTGCGTCGAACAGCGGCTTCTGGTTCTTCCGCTTGAGGGTCTGCAAGTCGAGATCTTTCTCAGCCTCCTCGCTTCTAAAGCAACAGGGAGAGCCACAGAAACAGAGGAAGAGGCTACCTTGCCGAGATAATGAAGGAGGCGCTCGAATACTAGGGAGATGAAGACTATGACGGTGCACACAACCACGACGATCCATGTGGGCGTGTCCTCCAACTTTATCGTCGACTCACCACCACCTCCAGCCATTGCCCCTCTCTCTCACAGCCTACCCAACTGCCACAAAGTGCAACTCCAATTCCGTTTCAGGGGGAAACTGGATGATATAAGAGAGAGGAGGAGGAGGAGGAGGAGGAGGGGAAGGAAAGGGTCAAGAAAGCGATGAGCATTGACGGACTTGGAGGGTCAACTCTCATTGCCATTACTGTGCAAACGGAACAGAGTAGGAAATCGGAATGCAGGAAGAGACCACTTGAAGACACCTGACATGGGACCAAGTCCTCCGCAAGAAGACAATCGAAGGTGAGAACGAGGGAGAAAACAAGAAGGCGCTCCTTCTACGTTGCCTGCGCGAGACTAGAAGCTGCAACCAACCTCACTTTGCCCAGGTCAGGTAAAAGAATAATTCCTTGAAATGTTTTAGATTACATGTTCCGAGCTTTCTCTATCTGCAATTGGATTGGATTATGTGTATCGATAAGGTATATTTCGGGTGTAAGACACGTCACAACCAATGTCACGCTATGCTACAGCTGAGTCAGCAAGGGGAGCACCCCCATGCGCTAAGTCAGAACCCGTATCAAGGCGTTGTTTGGTATGTCCCATCCCGGAAGCTCGGGACGGCATCATCCGATGTCGTTCCACGCGTCCCGAGACGACGACTGCACAAAAGTACTGTCTCATCCCTTGAGGATCGATCACCATGCCAAACCCACGTCAATCGATCCTCGTACAGTAATATAAAAGCCCCCGATCGACATCCGACTAGGGAGAGAGAAAAAAAAAAAAGAGAAAAACAACTATTGACTTACTCGTCGAATGGGCCAAAGTCGGGAATTACCCGACGAATGTCATTTTTGCATGAAAGCGGCCATCATCGAGCCGCGAGCATCTCAACCTGGGAATTATCATCCAGTGTACGAAGGCGAGCTGTGGACCAGCCTAGAGACGGAGAAGACACTGCTTAACACAAACGGTGCCCGGACCGAGGAACACCGATCAACACCCAATCGAGAGGGCCCGACCTAACTCGGCATCCAGCTCAACCGACAAAAGACTCCCGACATCGACCCGTGGACCAAGCCGTGCCGACTCATCAGCCACAACATATTTGTTCAGTAACATTTATGTTCCGACATATACAAAAAGAATGAACACTAGCCTAAGAACATGTCCATCGAGAAAAGCTCACGGCATCTATTTGAAGTGATCAGCTTCAGCTATGCAACATAAGAACTGATGTTTTATGCCTCTCTATTGAACAAAGCACACATTTTGATCAGAACATATCCTGACAACTATTTGTTGTTTTAATTTGCCACTCAACCATCTTCAACTTCCGTGGAAGGAAGGCTAAGCTTAATTGATTTTTTCAAGCTCTTCACAAACTTATGATGAGATTTCTTCGTTCTGATCAACTCTAAGAGACATTTCTGATGGACTCGGATCTCAAGGCGCATCTTTTTTTAAAAATGTAGGGTCCTCGACCACCAATGAAGGTAGATCTCCATCGAGCACCAAAGCGATCGACTCCAAAACCTCTCTACTAGCCTCAGAATCATCACAAGCCTCCTCCAATGACCCTTGGCATTTTGACCCTAAGTTAGCGACGAAGATTACTTGGATGTAAAAGAGCTCTTGACATGTTACAGTGCTTGATCTTGAGGAAGCCCAGAATGCTAGGAACCATTGGAGGCTAAGCCTATATGAAAAGTTCTTTAGCAAAGCTCCCCCTCTAGAAATCATCAAGGCGAAGCTCCCTGCATTATGAAAACTTCAATCATAGGTGCAAATCATCAATCTTGCTATCAGCTTCCTATGCTTCATGTTAGAATCGAAAACTAACATTACAAACATACTCACTAGAGTTATGTGGTTCCTAAGAGGGAATGCTTTCAATCACCAAAGGATTCTATTATGACTACATTAGTGTGGATTCACTTTCTAGGACTATCTATCGAATAGATGTTCCCAATAATCCTACTTTACATTGCAGTTATAATCGAAACACCGTAAAGAATCCTCCTTTACTTTCTAGGACTATCTATTGTCATACAGTGATTCTGTTATCTCAGTGGTGTACCTGGTCTTTAGACTTGAAACACCAAGGATGTCTTGTGTGAATACTTCATTCTTTGATACCAGACTTATATGCTTGGTAGTTTCAGATCTAGCACAACCGGTTCTTGGGAGTGGCAGCCAACCTTACGACGACTATTAAGTGTCGATAAAGGATCATTTACTCTCGGTATCATGAGATGAATATTCTATATATTCTTGCTCAGACAAATCCTTAGCTAGGGTTATTTAGATTGAGAGAGAAAAAGTTTACCAAGAGAATCTGATTAGATGAGACTCGAGGAGAAACCGTATGAGTTTGATAACACTATGCTCGGTATACGGTCTCTGAGATATTAGATGAATGAAAGACTATAGGTACATAGTAACTGAGGATAGATAGATCCAATGGATTAGATTCCCCTGTATTGTCTAAGAGCTACGGCGTAGTGGCCTAGTACGCCTATAGTCCATGGGTCGAGTGAATTATTATGAAGATAATAATTTACTGAGCTAGAAGGAGTTCTGACATGTATGACTTACGACCAACTCGATATTAGGCCTAGAGAGTTACACACATATAGTAGGTATTATGATTAGTAGAGGTTCAGATATGAGATATCCGCTGGAGCCCATATTTTATTGGATATCCAATAAGCTCTTGAATTATTGGATCATATGGATAAGATCTAATAAGAGCCAATGAAAGATTATTGGATAGAGATCTACTAATCTAATAGGCTTGGGTACTTGGATGGAGATCTAATACTCAATAAGGCAGGATCCATTAGGGTTAAGTTGATAAAAGACCTCTATAAATAGGAGAGAACCAATGGCTTATAGGCTAGAGGTTTTTGGTTGCCACCTCCTATTCTTCTCTTCTTTTCTCCTCCTCAGATAGATAGCAGGTGTAGAGATTTTAGGTAGCGATTGGAGGAACGTTGTCGTAGTCCTGTTGTATAGATCACAATTAAAGAAGAGGATGCTTGACCTCTTTTATGCTCTCCTACAATTCTATAGGGATTCAGGAATATATAATCTCCCTAGGTAATACAACTAACTCATGCATAGTTTTTAGTTTCACAGATTTTGTGCGCAAATCTTCGTACGATGACAAACACCTTTTTTGAAAAATCTGAAAATTTTATTTTCTATTCTTCCATTACGCATGTGATATCGCCCCTAGATTTTCCTACATCCTCTCCTTACGCTCAATGTCATTTCCCCTCTTACTAGTTCCTTTTCCCTTAAGGAGATTCACATTGCCCTCATAGGGATGGGGTAAGGGAAAGAGCCCTAGCCCCGATGAATATATGATCGAATTCTACAAAAAATATTAAAATATTTCAGGGTCTTCTATTTTTAAAAACTTTAATGGCTTCTACACTCATAACATCATGCCTGCTTCTTAAACCAAGACCCATCTTATGTTTATTATTAAGGTCACCAACCTTTCCAATGTGATCGACTTCTTTATAAACTGCTCTCTAAAATCCTAAATAATCAATTAAAATCTTATCTCAATAGAATGATTGATCAAAACCAATGTGCTTTATTGCTAGTAGGTCCATACATGATAATATCTCTATCGCCTATAAGCTTGCTCATATAATGTTTAACTTTAAAAGTAAATAATATTTAATCTTGATTAAATTGGATCTTATTAAGCTTGATTAAATATACTATTCTATGGAGCTCATACTCTTTGTCAAGAAATTTTTCACATTAGACAAAGAGATTCTTTGTCCCCCAACTCCCCCCCCCCCCCCCCCTTAGAATAAAAGAGACGATCTAACGATTAAACTACTTGGGTGCCTATATACACCATTGCAGGCTTCCCAATTGCTTCTAAGACCAACTCGTATAAAAAAAAATTTATCAGATTTAATCGCTAAAATAGAACCATGCTCTCTCAACCTCACAAATTTGTTTCGATGAACTTTATAATCAATGCCATGCCTCTCCACACACCCGATATACACCTCGATCTCTAACAAGAACATATCTAAGATTTTTAAATTATCTATATATTTTTTTTTTAATAAGGACCAAAACAAAACAAGCTTTCCCTCGTAAGTTAGGATTATATCACTCACCCAAAGGCTTAGAGAGGCCTAGGGGTTAGAGATATTAATCTTGTTAAGTCTACTATCTAGGTTAAAAAATTTCTCTCACTCCTTAATAACATGCTCATATGGAAACATAAATAATTATCATTTTTATAACTGTGAATACCAAATCGGATCTATATGGTGTAGAGCTCATCAATGATAGGATTGAATCCAAGACCCTTCTTGAGAGATCTCATCCCCCACCTCTCCTTTCTACCATAATCAACTCAACAATCTTTGTTCAACCCTATTAGAATCGCCCTTACACGCGCCACACCCCCTCCCCCCACCCACCTCCTAACACTAATTGCTCACACACCTTGCCTAATTTGTATATTATATTTTGACCGAAGGGGCAATAATGTTTTGGCTAATTGTGAAAATTACTTATCGGCAAATTCCTTATAATCTGAATGTTACATTATTTTGGATGGACTCAAGGCAGCCTATCCAAATCATCTCGTTCTCCTCTAAGTCTGCATAGACTCTAAAAGCATGGTTGACATGCTTTTGAACACTTAGACTTGTAAGAAATTATGATGTATTTCTTTTATATTTTTCTATTTCTTAATTTATGGATAATTAGTGAATAGGAGAATTTATTCTCTAGTTTTTTATTTTTATATTTTGATAATTTATATCTAGTGAGTTGGTGGTGGGTAATAAGTTTTACATATATAAATTGATTAGTTATAGCAATTTTTTGTTTTTTTAATACTTTTGAATAGTTCAAAAAAAATTTATTTTCTTCCTCCTGCCTTTTCTTGGTCAAGAGAAGTCAGTCAACTGTCACTCATAACTTTCATGTGGATGATTGTGGATGATGTACAAAGAATTCACTTGTCTGGATGCTATCACAAGGGGACAACTTTTGCTTGATACCATTCATGTGTCATGCCTCCATAAACATCAATCACATCATAAAAAGCTACACTGTTGACTGAGTAAATAAGAGAAAATATGGATAATTATTTTGAAATTGATACATGGTCCAAACTTCAATACCAAGTTGTGAAGATCTTTCAATGTTGCTGCCTGGTGGTACGAGCATCAACCCATAATATTTATGATTCATATGATGGTTCCTAAACATAAATGCTAATTCTGAGGAGGAGCTGATCCCCACCATGTGTTCTTCACTTCCTTCTCTCTCTCCGATCCACATAATTATATATAATTAGCTAAATCAACATGGAAAACATAATTTGTTTTTTTGGATTGGAAACTAATGAATATTATATTTATATTTTTATTTCTCTTCTTTTTGATATATATATATATATATATATTATTTTCCTTGTATATGGTATATAAAGAAATCACTTGTCTTGATGCCAAGAAAAAAAGAAATCTCTCAATTTGTGTATGGTATATAAAGAACTCACTTGTCTTGTCTTGATGCCATTATAGGGGGGGAACTCTTAGGGTCATAAAAACAAAAAAGAGTCCATGAATCAAATCATATACATTTTAACTGTTAAAAAAATGGCATCATAAAGCTACACTATTGACTGAGTAAATAAAAGAAAATACAAATAATTATTCTGAAACTGATGTCCCAAACTTTAATGCTTAGCTGTGGAGATATTTAATGTTGCTGATTGGGTTAGTAAGAGCATCTACATATAATAATTATGATGGCACCATACCTCAATGCTATATGTTCTTCTTCACTTCTCTCTCTCTCCTATCCACATAATTATATTGGGTAAATCAATAGGGAAAGCAGAAGTTGTTTGTTTTTTTTTTGATGGATTGACATTGAATAGAACAAGAAGGTTTGTGAAGCCATGTGGTTGAGCCTGACATGAATAATTAATAATATTTTTCAATCTCACATATACAAAAGCTCTCTCAAAATTCTTAAGGAAACTTAGGGTTCACATAGATTGGATTGCCTTTGTTAAAGTTATTATGTAAAAGGATCTCATGTCTTCTGATTGATTATGATGATTTTTATAATCATAAAAATATTAAATATTCTCCTAATTCTTACCATACAAAAGGATTTATGATTTCTTGATTTGTATAAATTCTATAATTTATGTAATTGACTTAGATTGTCTTTCATCCTATAAATTTCTTCTTTATCTTAGTCTTCCTCTTCGTCTTCTCATAGTCTTCTTTTAATCTTCTTGAAATTATCATTCGGCTTGATTCAACGTCTCAAATTGGAAGATTGACTTGGCTTTTATTTTTCTATGTTCTTCTTGAAGCAAACTTCTCTACTTGCACATCTGCAAGCATGATCTTATTTTCTCATGCTTGCTCAGTAGGTATCTGTTATTACTGACTAATACTTATATTAATGTTTGTATTATTTATTAGGCTTCTCGGATTCTTCGTGAAGAGGTGAAATCAAAATAAGAAAGTATAAAATCCAAAAAACATATCTCCTTCCTTTTTATAATTTGAAAATTATCCTCATAAGTAAGAAGAGACTTTATGTTTAATTATTTTACCTCATTCTATCTCTAATTTGAATATTTTAATTGTTATGGTTATTTTATTTTGTAGTCATCTTTCTTTTAATGACATTTGGTTGAGTGAATAATATGGCTCGACATGAAGAAAAAAATGCTTCAATTAATACTTATGAGAATATTTCTTAGATAGAGAAAAAAAAATGAAGCAAATGAGAAAATAATTTATGAAAAATATTTAATAAATTAATGCAGTTCTATAAGCTGATATATGCAAATAAAAAGCTCATAAGTACCCTATAATTAACAGCTAAAAATGGTAGGATTGTGTTCCACTTATTATGGGATGTGAAACAAATGTCAATTTGTGTTGTTTCAGAGTCCTCTCCATCTTCATCTTCATCTTCTCATTATTATCTTGATAATAATAATAACAATGATGACGACAACAACAATAATTATTATCTTGGAGGAAGGTCAACCATAGGTTATTTATTGTGATTGGCATGGAAAGTAGGCTGAGTATGATGTTAGACATAACCACAACATTAACATACATATATTTATATAAAAGAATAAGATAATTAGATGATGTGGGAAGAACATGGAGAACTTGTCACCCCGTTTCGTATGACATGGTTGACCAGGTGAAAGAATTGCATTAATAAGCAATAAATGAGTTCACTTGACAAAGTCTGAGAAATATATATACATAGAGGAAATGTGATGGGTCATTGTTGTCTTTTATATCCTTTTGGGACCAAAGTAATGTGCCAATAAGTTAGTGGTGAATAATAAAGAAAAATATTTGTTTGAATAGTATCATCCTTTGTCAATTCAATCTATACTCAAGGTTTCACATTTATGAACATTTCTATAGCTCCACAAGGTATATTTTTAGGTCTCATTGAAATGCCCAATTCACCACCCTCTCTCAGTCTCATACATAGTCTTGCTCTTACAAACAAGTAATATTAATTTAAATTGTTACTATATAAATATTTTAATCATTTGTAAAAATAGAGGTTTAATTTGTGTATGATAATTAAGATAATCCTTTTATTATGAAATTTTTTTTCTCTATTTTAATATGGATGGCTATGCTACAATACAAGCAATAATTCTTTTCGTTATGATTTCGAGAAAGAAAAGATGGTCTCAAACATAAGATTATGGATGATGAGAAATTTGAAGAAAAATTAATGTATATAAATTTATTTTTTTATGAATAATAATTTTATTTTTTTATTTTTAGATCTAGATGATCAGGATATGGGTTTCGAAGATAGAGATAAGGTTATATACATTGACCCGATAACCCGTCAAACCCATTCGTAAGATGGGCCGGGCCACCCATAGTGAGTACATGAACCCATAGAAAGGATATAAAAAATTTTGGATCCAAACTTAATAAGTGTAATCAATTTAAATTCGAAATATATGAACAAAATAAATGATAAAGGATCTAAATATTTATATCATATCATATTAGCATTCATTTGCCATGTTCATTAAATTTAGAAAGAAAGAAGCTTCCATTAGTGATTGTGGAGAACATGCCAACCATGCCTTGTATTTGATTTCAATTCAATATATGGATCGATGAGATGCAACCAAATAGACGTGCATAATTGACATATCCCCACTGGCCTTTTCGTTTTCTGAATCCATCGTTTATTAAGAATAAATTAGGAATTATATGGAGGCTTTAAGCTTTGTAATTGGGCTGATTGTATCATATCGATCTTTCCGTAAAAGAATTGCCATATCAATCACCGTCGCATTAATTCGAGCCACAAAATGAGGCATTGGTTGGGACAAAGGTTCAGTCTATATTATAAAGGAATCATATCGAATCAATTTCAATATCTCGAATCGATTACCAAATCCGACATATTAAGAAGATTGTTTTGACTATTTTGTCATGTAATTTAAAGTCAAAGTTGACCGACACGGAGTGGACATTCTCTGGTTTATGATCGATCGGCTGAATCAACTCGGCCTAATGCGGTCTGCTCCACACCGATTTCCGGGTTGGAAGAGAACAGCGTCGACTTCCGCTCGCCCCCGCCGTTGACGGAGGCAACAGAGAGACGACGCTTTGACCCGCAGAAGACAGACAAAAAGAGTCGAGTCGAGTCGCCTCATAAAGATTTTTCGATCTCTGTAACGAGGGGCATCGCTTCCTTCGCTCACGTATAGAGATCGGGATGAGGAGCGTTGAGGAGAGGAAGCCTTCGCGTTCGCTGAGACCGGCGCAATCGAAGCTGAGCATCCTCCTCCTCCTGGTCTCGACGAACCTGCTCTCCGTCTACCTCTTCTCCGGCGGCATGTGCCCTATCATCGGCGACACCGACGTCCTCCTGCGAGAACTCAAATCCACGAAGTCGGAGCTCGCGCAGCTGCAACGCTTCATGGAGACTCTCTTCCGTGGGCATGGCGACAAGGCGGCCTCCGACGACATGGACGGATGGCCGGACGAGTTGCCCCGGGAGATGAAGTTGGTCGTCGGTCCCCACAAGCTCCCCTTGGGCTACAACCGCAACCTCGGCACCGACAAGCTTTTCCAGCCGCTAGGATCCGCCTGCCGGCGTTTCCGGGAGGAGCTGGCCGGGTACATGACCTACGAAGTCGGCGGGGAGTGCCCCAGTGACGAGGTCTTCGCGCAGCGGCTGATGCTGAAGGGCTGCGAGCCGCTCCCCCGCCGTCGGTGCCACCCCAAGTCCCCCAAGGGGTACGTGGAGCCGGCGCCGCTGCCGGAGAGCCTCTGGGCCACCCCGCCGGACACCAGCGTCGTGTGGGACGCGTACACCTGCAAGAACTACAGCTGCTTGGTGAAGCGGGGGAGGTCCGACAAGTCCTACGACTGCAACGACTGCTTCGATCTGAAGGGCCGGGAGAAGTCCCGGTGGCTGGTGGACAGCAGCGGCGGCGTTCTGGACTTCAGCATCGACAGCGTGCTGGCGACGAGGCCGGCGGGGACGGTGCGGATCGGGCTGGACATCGGCGGCGGGTCCGGAACGTTCGCGGCGAGGATGAGGGAGCGCGACGTGACGGTGGTGTCGAGCACCATGAACTTCGACGGGCCCTTCAACAGCTTCATCGCGTCGCGGGGTTTGGTCCCGCTGCACATCAGCGTAGCCCACCGGCTGCCCTTCTTCGACAACACGCTCGACGTGGTGCACTCCATGCACGTCCTCAGCAACTGGATGCCGGAGGCGACGCTGGAGTTGGCGCTGTTCGACATCTACCGGGTGCTACGGCCGGGCGGCCTCTTCTGGCTCGACCACTTCTTCTGCGCCGGGGAGCAGCTCAACACGACGTACGTGCCCATGCTGGCGCGCGTCGGCTTTCACAAGCTGCGGTGGGTGACCGGCCGCAAGCTCGACCGAGGGATCGGGAAGAACGAGTGGTACCTCTCCGCTCTGCTGGAGAAGCCCATGACCTGATGCTGTCGGTGACGATGAGACGGCTGCCGCCTCCAAAATTGCAGTGTCATTAGTAGCACGTAAACGTTACTTCCATCGTGCGGCTGAGGATTGTGAACCTTTGATACGAATAATCAAAGATTAAACTTCTCCGCTTGCAATCGAAATATAGAGATTTCCGCACTCTTCGAGTCCATCTATCGATAGAGATATTCTATGAGACACTTAGAAGAGATCAATTACATGCATCTTTTACAGACTCATATACTTCGTTAAGTTAATCGTTTTTTAATCTCTTTTTTTTTATATATATTTCATATTAATTTTGCACATCATTTTAATGTTATCATCTTAGGGTAAACCCTTTAAATGTTTGCTCTGAGACAATGGTGGTGTTATCAATGTGCATAAGATATAAGATAATATTCAACCCCAAATAATAAAACTATAGAATATTGTTATGATATCATATTTATAACACTATTAGAATGAGAGTAAATAATATCCATGAAAATAAAAAAGAAGAAAACTACCTGACTTGCCGACTTAGAGTTCACTGGGACCCGCCACCTGTAGACACACGCAAAAGGCAACGGGTGGACCCTCCTCCCCTTTGGGTCAAGTTTGATGGGATCTGACGGTCAGGATCATCGGTGCTTTCTTCCATCACCTCTTCTCCCCGTGAAGAAAGCACTGCGAAGTGGACGGTGGGTCCCGCTTCCATCGTCAGACGAGTACACGACGGGTATCGTCGGGACGAGTGGAAACAAAAGTATTGCCACATATGTGGCCTCTCGGCCGCATCAGTAGCTCTTCTTAGGATGCAGAGGATAACTGACCGTTTGATCCACTTTTTCCGAATCACGAGGCGGATCAGGTTCCCGCTAACGTTTCAGTTATCGAGGACGCGATACTCTGGGGATCCCACCGTTCGTTCTTCCATCGGCAGTCAGGAACCCCTGTTTCGTCGGATTAACCGCCACGGACGGCGACCCGATCCCGCCTCTCCCTTTTTCCTCACTCATCAGCTCCGTCAGCTTTTAAACCAACCAAGCCCCGCTCGCTTCGACGTTAACAAGAGAGAGAGAGAGAGAGGAAGTTGCAATGGAGAAGGAGATGGATGATTTCCTGAGGGAGTGCGAGAAGTCGGGCGATGCCGCATACGCGGCCATCAAATCCCTTCTGGAGAGGCTGGAGAAGCCCGACACACGATCTGGCGCCCGCGTCTTCCTCGCCCGCCTCCAGCAGCGCTTCCAGTCCAAGGACGACGCCGATCGATGCTTCGACACTTACCATTTCCGCATCCACGACGTCCTCCTCCACGACTTCCAAGGTCCGATTTCTTTTTCTTATTGTGCTTCTCTTTTGATCAAGCTATTGTATAGGAGTGGTAACTGCAATATTCTGGGCCTTTTAGGCTCGTGTTGTTCTTGTAAGGATCGTTCTGTCGCCAACCTTTGTTTATCTGATCGACACACACAATGGATATTCACTATAAATATTTGACATGTCATTTCTGTTTCCATTAGATATTGAATTTTTAGGATTTTGTCGATGTCAAATTAGGATGGATTTCTCTTTGATTTTGTCGCTGGTCCGACAAAATGAGTGTTTATGATCCCAGTTTGAATTGTCCATCAATGTCGACTTTGTTCTCATTCAAAGGTTGAACTTGCCAACTGGTTTAGTATGATAAAACGAAGGTGAAGAAATGGATCGAGATCTCAATTATGTGTGTCATTGCCTCATGATAAGGAGTTGTTGGTGTTCCTCGATAGCATCAATCAATTTATTTTTTTATTACAAAAATCTTTTTCCAGTGGATGCAAATTGCAGCTATTATCTAAGCACTAGCTTACTTTCAGTGGCCTTATTTGGTTGATGACCTTTACATGACAACAAATTCAGAACGGAAGGACCAACTGTTTTTGGTATTCCAGTAAGCCAAACTACCCCATTACCAAAAAAGTTGCAATCTTTAAATTTTTTCCTCTTTTCCTGGTGGTGAGTTTTTGTCAACCTTATTCTTCTGCCAGTATAACCTGTTTGAGCAGTTCTGCAAGAGCTAATGTTGAAGTCCAGGCTTCCAATAGACATGATGTCACAAGAAAATGGGGAAAAAGATGACATTTTCAACAAATGATCACTTGATTGTGACTGGGTGGATGAGTCCTTATAAAAAGGTAAGAGCTCTATTGTTTTTGTGGAGCTCCTGTTGGTTGGAGTTTTATGATAATGACTAAGTTTTGGATGCACCAAAAATTAAGGGAAGAATAGAAACAACAAAGAGCTTGAAACAACAGGATCATAATCTTGACTTTCAACACGGTAGAAGATAATCGTTTATTTATACTGCAACCACGCAATTTAGCTTGTCATTTCTAAATAATTCATTGCTACCACATGGATGCATATATTTTGTTCAGTATATCCTAATGTGGTCTAGTAAGACTTGTTTCTTTACTTGTTAAAAGTTTTTCGCTTTCCTCCTGGACAGTATCTGGTTTACTAGCATGTTTTTTTCCTTTTTCTTACCAATTAGATAACGGGGTTAGAGTTATTTTCCTTCTCATGTCCCAGTTTACTCAATTGCTGATCCAACAATTTCTTACCTAACAGGCTACCAAAAGAGAAAGAAAATAACTATTTTGGAGATCCCAAGCATTTTCATTCCAGAAGATTGGTCTTTTACTTTCTACGAAGGCATAAATCGTCATCCTGATACCATTTTTAAGGACAGGATGGTTGCTGAGCTGGGCTGTGGAAATGGATGGATTTCCATTGCACTTGCTGAAAAATGGTCCCCTTTAAAGGTTTGATTTTGTTCCCAAATACTCATCTCCATACTTTATATATAACTCTAAAATTTGGTTCATTGGATCAAAAATGGTGAGCTTTAAGTCATTAAATATGAGCATGGGTTGCTTACATGCTTCATGCAAAGTTTAAAACCAAATAATGCATCTAACTTCATATTGGCACTCTTTAATGTCGTTAGACTTATAGCTTATGTGTTATAAATATGATATCCTAAACTTATTTCTTTCTAGTGCAACAATGGTACATTCTTTCTTGAATTTATCTGACCTTTGAAGCGTCCGGACAAAGAAGAAAAAAATGTGAAGTTTGATAGGAGAAGTCATTCTCTGCAATATGCATATACATAGATAAACGTTGAAGGTCTTTGCCAATGTGAGGACTGGAAGATCAGTGCATAGATGAAATTTAGATAAACTGTACCAAAAACTTTATGGCAAATCAGAAATGTTGAAGTCACAAATTGTTCAATCATAAATGGTGTTTTCTCCTTGACCTGCAACTAACTTCTTGTGCTGGATATCATGTTATAACATGTTCATAAGCTTTAATTCTTACTTTGCCTTATTTTTGTTTTAATGCTTATACTGCATGAATAATCTTATAGGCCTTTTTTGTTTTCAAAGTAATTGTTACTTGAACAACAATTTTGGCAATTTAAATTATGCTTCCTAGGAATGCAAGTGCCAATTTCTTCATATTCTCATTTCTTTTATTAATTATCATGAATTTGATCCCTAGAAACCACCAATAGACTAACATTGTGTTCTCCAGGTGTACGGGCTTGATATTAATCCAAGGGCTATCAAAGTGTCATGGATCAATTTGTTCTTGAATGCACTGGATGAGACTGGAACTCCTGTTTATGATGGAGAAGGAAAAACTCTGCTTGATAGGGTGGAATTCCATGAATCAGATCTTCTAGCTTATTGCAGGAAAAATAATATACAACTAGAGCGTATTGTTGGATGTATTCCGCAGGTACTGAACAAAGCTTTTGTATTGTGAAAAATAATATTATGGCATTTTTTTCTTCAAGATATCACGTGGAAACCCAAAACATATCTACATAAAAATTTTGGTCGTATGTGTGCACTCTTTTCTTTCATTTGGTTGGATACTTGGTTCTCACATGACTAATCTGAACTATAAATCAATTCGTCAATTAAACTTCTATTCTATTCATTCTCATTCAAAAATTTGTTCAGTTACTATGGAAATTTGTTTTGCAATGAAACCTCAAATTAATCAATTACATTTCACTTTCCAAATCTTAAATATAAATGTAATTAGCAAGTACACTCTTATCTGCTGATTTATGTGTACTTGTACTTATTTGTTTTGTCAATAGATCATATTAATTATTATTTACTTAATAATTTGGTTGATTTTATTGCTTGTCAGATTCTCAACCCAAACCCAGAGGCCATGTCGAAGTTGATTACCGAAAATGCAAGCGAGGAATTCTTATACTCATTAAGTAATTATTGTGCTCTTCAGGTTGTCATGCATGCTACATGTGTTTCTTGTTCCTTCTTTTTGTTGAGGCTTACTAACTGTGTGGCATTTGCTACACACATATATATATATACACACATATATATATATATGCATATGTATCGGCAGGATTACACTCATGGAACTTGGACTGTATTCTACTATATTCAAAACTAATTTTTTCCCTGTTTGTATTATATTCGCAAAGAAAAAAAATGTTATTGTGGATGTTAAGTAGCTTGATCATTTGGTAATGTTACATTATCTGACAGGAAATCATATATCCATATGTTTTCACTTCAGATGCATGTAGGTCTGGCATCATCAATCATAGATTTGTGCTTAATACATAAATTTCTCATTGAGTTGCTTACAGTGAAATTATTTTACCTTCTTTTATGCACCATCTGTAAAGCAGAGATGCATTTTGGTTTTGCTGTTACTCCACATATAGCCACATTTGAAGAAACTAACAAGGTGGAAGAAGGCATGATACAAACTACTTAACAGGGAGGCAAATGACTAACAAAAGTGATTTTTAACAAAAGAAAATGTATAAAGAAATGTTAATTTTTTTTACTTTATACAATGTAAAAACAATCTCTGGTCATCATGTTGAATTGACCTGAAACATAACAACCATTCATATGTGAGGCAAACACATGCAAATGTTGACGAATAAATCAGTAGAACAATCTGTGCACATATTGTCAAATGTCAATATTTGACTATGTCGAGCCTTACATAGATGATATAAACATCTGGCATATATGCAATATATTGATGTAAATAAGTGTTAACAGTACAGGAATCCAAAATATTTTCTCAACCACCCAATGGATATCAGGTAAGTGTCAGACATGCATTAGTCCTTGCTAGGTATGACAATCATTTTGAACTGACCATGTTTCATGGTTCATAGCAGTCCTTTTGTCCAGTAATTAGCATTTGAAGTACTTTGTATCTTTTGGCCAATATTGTTTTGATATAAATACTAGAATTAACAAACAGTTCTAAATCCATTCATTTATATCTTCCTAGTTCTAAATGACATTGACTTTGCAACATATAGGCTTGTATAGTCTTGTGTCTGTATGATTCAATTCAGTTGATCATTTACTTGTCACTTGCTTAAGTGAAAGCCTAACAGCAATCAAAATTGTAGAGTTATATATTTTTTCTTTTTGTTATTTAATTTTTAATTCAGAATCATATGTTTTCTATAGATCATATCCTTTTGTAATTTCTGAATATTGAATATAATTTCTGAATCTTGAATAGTACAATTAAACTAGGGTTTTGTTGAGGATCAATTTGGCCTGGGTTTAATTGCACGTGCTGTTGAGGAAGGGATTGAGGTCATAAAACCCACGGGTTTTATGATATTTAATATAGGAGGACGTCCAGGGCAAGGTGTTTGCAAACGTTTGTTTGAGCGTCGTGGTTTCAACATCACCAAGCTTTGGCAGACAAAGATTATGCAGGTATTTGGAGTCAAAAAATTCTTGAATAAATCCGACCATCCTTTTCCTTCAATAAGTGCATGAATACCTGAGTCATCCCTTGAAATCCTTGTTTTTGGGGGTTCCATGCATTCAATCTCAACTTGATTTATATTATATCATTTTCATGTGTGATATATTTTTCTTGGTCAAAATCATTCTGAAATTTTAATTTAAGCCTATTTAAATGTATTGTTGCAGGCTTCTGATACAGATATTTCAGCTTTAGTCGAAATTGAGAAGAACAGCCACCATCGCTTTGAATTTTTTATGGGTCTTGTTGGTGATCAGCCTATTTGTGCACGAACAGCTTGGGCATATGTGAAGTCCGGTGGTCGTATCTCACATGCCCTATCTGTCTATAGTTGTCAAATTCGCCAACCAAATCAGGTAAATTATATGTTTCTTTATTTCAAGGGTAAATTTGTGTAGTGTACGTAACTGACAATTTGTAGTATGTTGGAAGGTGAAAATCATATTCGACTTTTTAAGAAATGGATTTCAAGAGGTTAGCAGCTCCTTGGACCTATCATTTGAAGATGATTCTGTTGCCGATGAAAAGATACCATTTCTAGCTTATCTTGCTAGTGTATTGAAAGAAAATTCATTTCTTCCATATGAACCGCCAGCTGGAAGTATGCATTTCAGAAATCTTATAGCTGGATTTATGAAAGTATACCATCACATTCCACTAAGTGCAGATGTAAGTAGTTATAGTATGTACTCCACATTTCTAGTGCAAGAAGTTTATTTTCTATTCATGCTTATTATGTAAATGCTCACTCACTGTTTTTACAAATGAAATTTGGAAATCCTATCACATTTTACATTTGAAGTCATGGAATCATATTGTGTTATTAGAGTGACATATATGATGTCGTGTATCGAGTCCCGTTTTTATATTTCGTGTTGTTCCAAAAAGGACAAAGGGTGTCATATTGAGTTTATATTTTCTTTCTGGTCTACAAGAATGTTACAGTGTTCCCATCAAGATCTGTGGCAATTGAGAATGTTCTTCGACTTTTTTCTCCACGACTTGCTATTGTTGATGAACATTTGACCAGAAACTTGCCCAAGCAGTGGTTGACATCTTTGACAATTGAGGTATGGTTCATCAGCTACTCTCTCTCACTCTTGACTCACATGGTTGTGCATGCAAAAGTGCTGTTTGTAACCTAAAATATGCTATGATTGTACTAGGAGTTCTCTGTGCTTATACTAGCATGAGTGATTCTGTATCAATCTAACCTTTTGTCATACTTTCCTATATCTTGTAAAGTAATGATGAATAAACTGTCACTGTTCATGTCAGCCATATGACAGGAGATTTTTTTTAAATTGTCAGGGAACTAATGATAAACTTGAAGATATCATTACTGTAATTGAGGCGCCGCACCAATCAGACCTGATGATTGAATTGATACGGAAACTGAAACCACAAGTTGTTATAACTGGCATGCCTCATTTTGAGGCCATCACAAGTTCTGCATTTGAGAACTTATTGACCACTACAAGAGAGCTTGGCACCCGCCTTTTCTTGGATATATCAAACCACTTTGAGCTTTCTAGCCTTCCTGGATCCAATGGGGTACTGAAGTATCTTGCTGGAAAGAGTCTGCCATCACATGCAGCTGTCCTGTGTGGACTAGTGAAAAATCAGGTAGATAGCCTCTTATCCAAGTATCCTTGATATCTAATGTTTCATACATATGGGGATGGAAAACAATTATAAATGTGGATTTTGTTGTTCTTACATATGCTCCTTGGCTCAGTGGGAAGCCTAAGAGCAAAATAATTGCTTTAGAAAAGTTTTTTAGTCAAGAGAAAGTTTATCCGAATATCTGACACTCCAGTATAGGGCCTGATTGATGAAATTTTTCTTATATAGTTTGTCATGTCATATATCTTTCTTTATGACAGATCTCCAAAGTAGCAGTTGAAATTAAAGCACTAAAACAAGTGTTGATGGCTTTTTGAATGGTGAAATTAAACTTTCTTCTCAGGTTTATTCTGATTTGGAAGTGGCCTTTGTCATATCTGAAGATGAGGCTGTCTACACAATATTGTCAAAGACAGTGGAGTTACTGGAAGGGAATACAGCATTATTTAGTCAATATTACTATGGTTGTCTGTTCCATGAGTTGCTTGCATTTCAGCTAGCTGATCGTCATCTACCTGCAGAGGTTCCTTCCCCCTACACCCCCCATCCCTCTCTCTCTCTCTCTCTCCAGCACACACACAAGCATGCCTGTTATAACATTCATGATGATTCTTGCAAGAACTTGAAAGTATATATTTGTAATCTTCTGCTTATCTGCTTAATTTTTACGGTCACCGTGCAGAGAGAAGGTGCTGACAGAAACTCAGCTAAGTTGATAGGATTTACAAGTTCAGCTGTTTCTGCACTAAACAATGCCGAGCTTTTCATTATGGATCAGGACAATTCACTGATTCACATGGATGTAACTCGAAGCTTCTTGCCAATACCTTCAACTGTAAAAGCATCCATATTTGAGAGCTTTGCAAGGCAAAAGATGGTTGAGTCTGAAACTGATGTTCGTTTTGGAATTCAGCAGCTAGCTATGAATAGTTATGGGTTCCCTTGTGGTGGCTCTTCAGAGTTCATTTTTGCAAATTCTCATTTAGCCCTTTTAAACAAGCTAATTCTTTGCTGCATTCAGGAAAAGGGCACCTTCATTTTCCCCTCAGGCACAAATGGTCATTATGTCTCTGCGTCCAAGTTCATGAATGCAAACATTGTGACAGTACCAACAAAATCAGAAACAGGTTTTAAGCTTGTTCCAGATGCACTTGCAAGTTTGCTGGGGACTCTAAGAAAGCCATGGTTGTACATATCTGGTCCCACTGTTAATCCAACAGGCTTGTTATATAGCAACAAAGAGATCAGTGAAATACTTGCTGTCTGTGGTAAGTTCGGAGCCAGGGTGGTAATTGATACTTCTTTCTCAGGTCTAGAGTTCCACACAGATGGTTGGGGTGGATGGGATTTGAAAAGTTGTCTTTCTTCAATTGCATGCACCAACTCATCTTTCTGTGTGTCTCTGCTTGGTGGGTTGTCATTTGAGTTGCTCACCGGAGGTCTTGAGTTTGGATTCTTGATCCTGAATGACCCAACTTTAATTGATGCATTTTCTACCCTACCAAGTTTGGACAGACCACACAACACAGTCAAATATGCTATCAAAAAGTTATTGAGTCTTCGAAACCAGAAGTGTCGACAGTTCTCTCAAGTCATGGATGAACAGAAAGATGTTCTAAGGAGTCATGCTGATCGCCTAATGAAGGTACTTTGGCATGCATTTATAATTTCCATTTGTTAAGTTTTTTAGGACCATAGTGTAGAAGTTTAGACAAGATCATCCTAGCTAAAGTTCACCACTTACAAGCTCCAACGACAACCTTTAAGTGTTTGATGAAAATTATACATAAATTATTTAACTTCTTTTTTTTTTCAGTTATACAAGGTTAGAAGGTCTATTAATCATTTGTTCGCTGATAATCTACTTAATGTTTGTAAATGGAGACAACTATCTAGTTTCATTTGAACTTTAAAGTTTTGACAATACTTTGGACATATATTTTCCTACATGTAGAGCACTAACTTTTTATGTTCCTCTTTAACTCTATATCATACTAGTTTATACCAGTGAGGTTACCTGTTCGGGAACAAATTTCTAATCAGTAAAAATGAACATTGTTGCTTTGAACTAGATCAATGATGTGTTCTTCCTGATCTGGGCTTCAAAGGTTGGCCAAAAATTTTTCAGTACATCAGAGCTGACTGTAACTCCTATTGGTGATTCCACATTTTGTGTAGGTTTTTAAACTTATCCTGGCTTCACTGCTTGATGTATCTAACTGTTAATTCGTTTTGACAGACACTTGGAAGCTGCGGATGGGATGTTGTTCGCTGCTGCGGTGGTGTTTCTATGGTAGCTAAACCGACGGCTTATCTGGGGAAGATGCTTAAATTAGATGGCTTTGAGGCCAAGCTTGATGAGACCAATTTCAGACAAGCTGTTCTAAGAGCTACTGGTCTGTGCATTAACAGTGGATCATGGACTGGAATTCCAAACTACTGCCGTCTCACTTTCGCTCTTGAAGATGCCAAGTTCGAACAGGCGTTACAACAAATTACTCAATTCAAGAAGTTGGTTCTTGAGAATTGAGTATGAATGACTACCTTTCCCATGGGATGCGACTTAAAGTGTTGCAGAAATTACTGCCGTCTCACTTTCGCTCTTGAAAATGCCAAGTTCAAACAGGCATTACAACAAATTACTCAATTCAAGAAGTTGGTTCTTGAGAATTGAGAGTGAATGACTACCTTTCCCATGGGATGCGACATGAGTGTTGCAGAAATAATATAACACAAAAAGTTCATCAGATCTTCCTGTGCGATCTGTGGAGCTGACCGATATGAATAGTTTCCTTTGGATATTTTTAACATGGTTATACTTAGCTTATCTGCCTCGGAATGCCTCGTCGGCTCATTGCATAGTCTCTGGGTCCTACCAAGGTGATTTGATTTGAGTAAAAAAAATGAAATAGCTTTCTTTTTTCCTTTATTTTCCATTTTTATGCTGGTTTTCAGTTTTTGACATGTTACCGGGATGAGAGAAATGTTTCTGAGCTGTATCTTCTAAAACTGATGGCATTAAATCATTCTTGAGTAATTCCATGATGACACCAGTTAATCTGACTTCCCTATCACACTTTAGCTCTCATGTTTTGTTTCTAACCAGTGATTATGTTTGATAAGCTTGAACAGGTTTATCATATTCTTGTTCTTTCTTCATGTATGAGGAATTGAAGAAACAAGTTACATCAGTGTCTATGGTGTTTTGTTTATGGTCAGCAAACTGATATGGCTGTGGACAGTCATTTTAACATGTGGAATGCAGGTAAAACCCAACAAGTCATCAACAATCACTCCCCAGAGGATGGATGGATCGAAGCATGAAGGAAATGTCATCAAGTTTAAATTACAGGTAGGTTCATCATCTTGCCATTTGGAATTTGGTCATGAACTATATCTTGTGTGATTTAATAATAAGCACCACACTTGTTTACTGAACTAACTACTTCCAAGTTCATCAGAACTTTGTTGGTGACCTGCCAAAAATTATCACTGTTGTGGTGTTTCCATCTTTACCTCGAGCAAGACATATAAATTTCTTACTCTTCAATCCACCTTTCCTCCATGTCTATCATCACAAAATTTGACCTCCACCTTTTACTATCATCTCATGAGATGTCTTGCTATCAGTGCTTAGCATGAAATAATAACTAAATGATCTTCTTGAATGGTTAAAGTTAGGAGACTTTTTCACCAGAGAAATAGTAGTATAGTAGTAGTAGATGTTTAGGTAAGTTTCACAAGGTTAAGAGAGAAGAGAACAAAAATGATACATCAGGATCAGAAAAATGCAAGAAGAATGAATGGACACTTCTAACTGCATGATTTTGGTTTACTAATTTGCCATGTGGCCTACAAACAGTGACATGAAGAAAAAATATCAATGAACAGAGCTACCAGTTCAGATACAAAGCTAAAGACCCCATCTTTGGGGATTTACCAAGAAAAATAAGTCAAAAGAAGAATCAAAATAGTGAAATAAGTTCATGTACTACATTTTCTTTTCTGATTTTATAACCAAGGTATAAAATTTTCTGGCAACCTGCTTTAGCTCGAGGAACCTGGTTCCGACAGCCCGCAATGCTGATCAAACTCGAAACCATCAACAAGTTCATGCCAAAGCCATTGTGGATCCTTGAAGCATACCCTGATGTGGTTGCTTGAAGCTTCTTATTGATAATTGAATCGGCCATCACGAGATTCAAGAGGGTGGTTGTTGTTGTTACCATCCTTGGTTAGATAGTTGTGTTGGAGTGGAACTCTCACGCCGGTGATCAGGAAGCGCCTATGGGAAGATAGGTACGGAGTGGCGGTGTGGACGGCTACGTCGCACTGCCGACAGAGCAGAGCACGGTCCTCTAAGCAGAAGAAATACCTAACTTTTTCCTGCAATCCATGGTCTCAAACATATTAAGGTTAGTCCATGAACAGAGTATTAATATTGTGCAGAAGAGATTAGTAAGTTCTGCAATCTAAAACAACGAATACCTAGGACAATATAAATCGTATGAAATTGTCACTACCAAGATCAAATTTTTGTGCCATGTGATCTAACTAGATCCAAGAAACTGCAATGATGTGCTCGATAAGATGAGCAAAGACGGTAGATTGTTTCTATGAATAAATAGAAAGGAAATTATGAGGGGGGAAAGTTGATGGATGGCTATCAAGGAACAAATCAGCGCGTAAAAGCAACGAACTTCTGTTTGCAAAACCAAGAAATAGGAATGGAAGATCGATGCACCGAATGGATGACTTCACAATAGATCAAAATTATGAGGGCTTTTAGCCACCAAAAAAATATTTGCATTTATAAATACACCTGTCAAAATTACAAGTTAAATGTCTCGCTTAGTTCACTGGCATCAGATTACATGCAAGAAGATACTTGCCTTCTTTTCCCCAAGAAAAAATTTGATCCATGTTATTTACCAACAAAGCTCGGCTCGCAACCGGTTCTTCAAATGATCAATGATCATTTGTAGTTTGAAAGAGCAGTTATATAGTCTTCAAGGTAAAAAAAGGGTGTAGCTATGATACTTGTAAATATCTTGGTCCCATGAACCCTAAAATGAAGCTTCAACAAACTGTTTGTTCATAGAGCAGCTGATTTATTTTTATAGCCACACCTATATGACTTCTTAAATCTTCTTCATGAACATTTGGCCAAAAATTACTAGTTTTTATTTGGTGCATGGACTTCCAGTTAGCAACCAACAGATCTACATTTCGATCGAAATTATCCTAAACAGTAAATGATTCATATCCTCAAAATTGCTCATTCTTTAAAAAGAAAAAAAAGGTATCAAGACTTCTAATGAACAATTTTTTTTCTCCAATGTTATATATATTAATCAATGCATGTTAATAGTCAAAAGTGAACTTGAACACCCTAATAAATCTGACTATTTAGTAAGATCAGAGCCATATTTTCGGACTTGATAGTGAGACAGCCTATCATTTTTTTTGTGTAGGAATTAACCAACAATCACCTCTTACAAAGTTTAAAAGGGATCTTCCAATCAGACAGAGCTGCCAACTGCTACACTATTGTCAAACAGACTAACAAAGACGAAACTTCAATCCGAGTTAGAAGTCGCATGTCAGTTATCAATTATGAAGAACTGCATTATGAGCCTTAAATTTTGATAGATGTCAATCCAACACATGGAACTTCAATTTACTTTTGAACATAGGTTCTTTAGCTCTGATAGCATCTTAAATATCAAAACCTTAAGCAGGTAGATGCGATATGATTAATCTATACTCTCTGTAGTACATGCCCAATCATTCTAATGTGTGACAAAGGCAAGCTAGCATCTACTCATACCATTGAAAATATTGTGACTATGCTCGGAAACATATGAAGGTAAACAAATATTGCTTGGTTAAGGTTTCAACTCATGGAAAATTACTAGTACATCATATTTAGCAAAGTTGCCTCAAATTTGATCAACTGAATCAGTCAAGTGAAAGAGTTGCTTTTCTCATTTGTTTCATTCCTAGGCAAGAAATCCAAGAGACATTAAGAAGGCAATAGAAATCCATTTTAATTCGTGGGTACAAATCTAAGAAAATCAACAAAATAATAGCATTAGATTAGCAAATGTAAAGACCGAGAGATGCCTACCTGACATATATCACAGGTGGGGGTTTGTGAAGAAGAAGAAGAACGAGAGTTGGAATTGGTGGGGAGGAGAGGGACCCGCTGGTGCTTCCCGGCGAGCTTGTTGGCGGCGTGTACCTTCTCGTCGCAGCCCCAGCAGAGCGCGGCCTCGTCGGCGCAGCACAGCACCGCCGCCACCGCCCCCTCGCACACGTCGCACAGTATCTTCATCCCTCTCCTCCTCGGGCCGACCGAGCATCCGCTCACCCGCGCTTCACCTGACAACGGCGAGAACAGATCAGATCACAGAAACCATTCCCGACCCCAAGTCCGGAAACCAAACCACCGTCTCAAGAATCAAAATCAGGTTGTTACGGAGATCTTTCGGTGTTTAGGTAAAGATGCGTTGCAGTTTGCACTAGAGAGGAGAATTAGTACCTCCCTCCCGATAATGTCTACCGAGAAGAAGAAGAAGAAGAAGAAGAGGAAGGAGTTCAAGAATCAAGATCGGTTTTTGATCGAAAAATCACGAAATTTAGGGGAAATAATTTGCAATCAATACCTCTCTCCCAAAATACCTTAACAGGAAGAAGAGGGAGGAAACAGGACCCCGAGTTCTTAGCGAGTGCTGCTACGGTCGGACACTTGGACTCGACGAAACCGGCCGGACAACCACTTCCAGGTGATCTTGGAGCAGGAGCTACCGCCAATCTGCGTCGTCTGTTGTGGCCGGCGGAAACGGACTTGCGGCAGCTTCGGGAGCCCGTCTTCTGGAGGAGGAGGAGATGAAGGAGTCGGGGCTTGAAATGGTGAGGTTGTGGTCGGCGCGGGGACGGGAGAAGGCGAAGACGAAGACGAAGCAAAAGGTAAAGAGATATTTTTGGCCAGCAATTTAAACTCCGGCCCGCGCTGCCGAGGAGAAGACAACAACAACAACAAACATATGGCGTCAAGGATGACTACTACTAAAGATGATAATAATAATTGACTCATTAATTAAATTATTTATTATAAATTTATTTTAATTGATCTCTCACATTTGATGTGAAATTAAACTCGACATAAATCCTGTTTTTGTTATTTATTTTCAAAAATAAAACAACTAAATGAGATCTTTAAGGTCCTTAAAAAACACCTATCAAAATCATTTCACAAAATCACAATTAAGGAAAAAGAGATATTTTCCTACCAAGAAAAGTTCATATTTATTGCTCCATCACATTATTTAAAACAATACAAACTCAACCTAATTTGCCTTTTTTTTTTTGTTAATTGATATTTTGTGTTTGGTAAGATTTGCAGTGAGACTTGGTATATATTTTTATTTATGAAAATAAAGTTGCATACATATAGTTTGGTGGTGCATAATATCTTAGTTTAAATTGACTTATAAAAATAAAATAGACCACTATTATTACAATATCTTGAATCAGTGGGTAATGTTGACAAATGATATCAAAGTGAAATTAGAGGACAGAATAGAGCCTAAATAGAAACTGGATTCTCTTAGGATAATGCACCATTACAACTATTGCAATTATCTTCATTTATTGCATAGGCAGGAAAAGCTCCTGATATTGGTTGGCAAGCAGAGAAGATCTAATCTAATGAAGTATTTATTGCAGACAACACCATGAGAGGGTGTGAATGATTCTGTGCTCTCTGTGAGGACCAGTCTACTCTCAAGTTGGAGTATGCAGACAAATGGTTAGGGGTCGATCTGATTGGAACCCTTTTTTTATTTGATTTTATTTAAGTTAAATAATTTGAATCAAAATCGATTCAAGATCGATTAATCTGATTTGATCATTCAGTTTATAATTTAAATTTTATATATATATATATATATATATATATATATATATATATATATATATATATATATATATATATATATATATAAATGAACTGATTCAATTCAATTAAATCGAATCTTAGTTCATTTGG